TAAAGGACTCTACCAATATGAAAGACTATGTTTTGGCATATCATTCAGCCCTGGAATTTTCCAAGCTGTCATGGACAGTATTTTTAAGGATATTCCAAATGTTTGTGTGTACTTTGACAATGTGTACATAACTGGTAAGAATGACACTGAACATCTTAAAACACTTGATAAAGTATTGAAAATTGTTGGTGAAAAAGGTTTAAAGATAAACAAAGATAAATGTCAATTCATGTTGACAGAAATTAGTTTTCTTGGTTATATATTGAGCAAACAAGGCATCAGACCTCAACCTGAGAAAACAAAAGCCATTAAAGAAGCACCCAAACCTGAAAATACCCAACAACTAAGAGCTTTTTTGGGCTTAATAAATTACTATGCAAAGTTCATAGGAAATCTGTCTGGTAAACTATCACCACTGTACAAGCTGCTACAGAAAAATGCAACTTGGCACTGGGGTAAACAACAAGATACTGCTTTTAATACAGCAAAAGAGGCTTTGTCTTCTGACACCTTACTAACTCACTATGACCCAGGGAAAAGACTTATATTAACATGTGATGCTTCACCAGATGGTGTAGGAACAGTCTTGTCCCACATGGATGAGAAGGGTGACAGACCCATTGCTTTTGCCAGTAGATCTTTGAACCAGGCTGAGAAAAATTATTCTCAGTTAGATAGGGAAGGCTTAGGCATCATTTTTGGTGTTAAGAAATTTCATAAGTTTCTGTTTGGTAGGAAGTTCACCATCTTTACAGATCATAAACCATTGCTAGGTTTATTTGGAGAAAACAAAACCCTACCTGAGCATGCCTCACCAAGAATTCAAAGATGGGCTATCACACTAACTGCATACAATTATGAATTGAAATACAAACCTGGATCTGAGAATAGTGCAGATAGTCTTAGTAGATTACCTTTAAAAAACCAGAGCCTGAGCTATGTACCAGAAGATGTATTTGTTCTCTTCACTATCATGGATAACTCCAATATAAATGTGAATGATATTAAAAGAGAAACACAAAAAGATGAGTGCTTAATAAAAGTATATGAGTACTGTAAGAATGGTTGGCCTGAAGAGTCAGTGAATGAGGACTTAAAGCCATATAAAATAAGAAAAATGGAGTTAAGTCTAGAAGATGGATGTGTACTATGGGGGTCAAGAGTAATTATCCCCAAAATGTTACAAAAAGAAGTTTTAAGAACTTTACATGATACTCATCTTGGTTCTTCCAAAATGAAGAGTCTAGCAAGATCATGGTTCTGGTGGCCACATATGGATTCTGATATTGAAAAATATGTAAAACTTTGTTCAAGCTGTGCACAACATTCAAATCAACCAGCTACAGCACCTTTGCAAAACTGGGACTGGCCAATCGAGCCATGGAAACGTATACATATAGATTTCGCAGGACCTTTCATGAACAAAATGTTCTTAATTGTTATTGATTCACATTCTAAATGGTTAGAAGTTAAAATCATGAACACAATCACTGCAAATGATACCATTATAGAACTTAAGGAAATATTTTCAACTCATGGATTACCAGATCAAATTGTTTCAGATAATGGGCCTAGTTTCACAGCTCATGAGTTTAAACTGTTTTGTGTGGCAAATGGTATTGAGCATATAACCACATCCCCCTATCATCCTGCTGGGAATGGTTTAGCTGAAAGAGCGGTAGGCATATTCAAAACCGCTATGGTAAAAATGAATACCGGTAACAAGTTTTCTCTTAGAGAAAGAGTAAACAGGTTCTTAACCAAATACCGCACAACTCCTCATATAACAACAGGTGTTGCACCATGTGAATTGCTATGTGGTAGGAAAATTAAAACTCATCTTGACCTACTACATCCAACTGTTCAAAGGTCTGTTTCCCAACATCAACATACACAAAAAGTAAATCATGACAAATCATCCATTGAAAGAGAATTTGGTGTTAATGAGAATGTGTATCTAAGAAATTATGGGAGAAAGGAAAAATGGATACCAGGTCAAATTGTTCAATGTACAGGACCTGTGTCTTATAAAGTAAAAACAAATGATGGACTTATTGTCCGTAGACATGCAGACCAGTTAAAAATAACTTGTGCAGATAATAAGTGTGAATCTGTCAATCCCACCAAATCTGATCAGTTCACACCAACTCAGTTTGTTCCACAACCAAGTTCTGTTGATATGAGTGAACCAAGTTGTCTGGAGTCAGAAAATGTAAATTCTGGAGTTAATGATTTAAATCCTAGACCTCCTGAGATAGAGAATCCAGATGGTCAGAATCTTGAGTCACCAAATCAAAAGCCACTGAGAAGGTCAAGCAGGACAATCAAAGTCCCAAATAAGTTAGACCTATGATTTTAAAGGTCAAGAGGACTTTGACATTATTGTTTTGTATTTTAATTATGTTGTAACATATTGTGCATTGTTTGTAAGGATGTAATCTACCATAGTGTTCATGTTACAATATAATTGGTGATTTTAGGATACCATCAATTGTTCTATTGAGAGATGTGTTATTGTGTTCTAAGGGTAAAGGGATGTAATAGATTGAGATAATTGTGAGGTCAAGGGAACTCACTCTTCTGTATTAGTATTATATTTATATTGTTATCTTGAGTGATGTCCCTTGTGCATTGTACTTCCTTCCGTCCTCTCTGTGTGGTATCATCATGTAGTACATGTAGTTAGACCCAATAAACGTTATATACAACCACATGCTTCTATCGTCAATCTATTATAATAATTCTATTATAGACCTACAAATTATGGAGGAAATATTGTAATCGTGCAGAAAAAATCAAATTTTGACAGTTTTCGTCGTTTTGAACCTTCATAAATTTATCGTATACGAAGATTCACCCCGAATGTTTACAATAGAAGTGACTGCTATTAGGGGCAGATAAATAAGTTTTTAAACAATTTGAAACTAAGGGGGGGGGGGGTAGTTATAAGTTATGCTTGATCTTTTCATTGTCGTCTGTAAACTGTCGTCACGGACGGCTGCTTTCGCGACGGTGGAAGGGGGGGGGGAGTAGGGGGAGTATAATCGTCCTTAACGAGCTACTGATACTGATAGTGTTTTAAAGCAACATATTTTCAGTCGCAGCATTGGTAGTGTCAAATTCACAAATAATGAATTACTGAAAATTAGGAATTAAACTAAATAGCGGCGTATGCTACGTCGTGGGTCAACTCGTAGGCAATATTTTTATTAAACCTGTTACTGTTACTGTTAGACCTATTGTTCATTATTGTGTTCAGCGGAGATAGCCGGTGGTTACCGACAGTGACGTCACGTATTCCACGTTTGAAACAAGATGGCGTCCATGGTTAGTAAAATATATTATTTGTTTATGGTAAATTCGGCTATATTCGTTGTCTTTTAACGCGTTTAAAAGATAATATTTATCGTTGAACGGAATGATTAAATGATTGAAATGATATGAGTTGTACAGTTTATGTTCATTATAACATCAGCATTAGTTTTTACTTAACAAAAACTCTAGATCTAGACTCCCTAAAATTCAACCTTAAAAAAATATTTTAAAATAGATTCTAGACTATCACTGTTTACTGTGGTGACCACAAACTTCAGAAGGGTTCACTGTTCAGTACACCAGTGAATGTGACTCTCTACTTCTACAGACAAGAAAAAAGAATAGAATCTGTTGCTTACTACATTCGACTACTAGATCTAGATCTACTAGATCTAGTTACTAGTAGATCTAGAATCTAGTAGCACCCACATTCTACTTGTTAAATTTTTGGAAGTGAAAAGTCTCCATAACAATCTAAGTACTAGATCTAGATTCTATCTAGATCTAGTTTCTCCATAAGAATATCCCTACTTTAGTCATATCTCCTTTTCTTATTGAGAATAGTAATCTCTAAAGTAGAAATGGAGTCAAATTGGGCTCTCAGCATTTGACAACTCTGTTCATTCAACTACACAAACAAATGACATCTACACAGACGACATGGTGATTTATATTTAACAAAAACTAAAATTTGTAATAATAAAAAATTGTTATTCTAGTTGGTTGTGCAGAATTGCACAGGCAGATCAAAAAAATCAGAATGGCAATTAGCATAATTTGGAATGTGCACAAGTTGAACTTTGAATTTTGCTGCTCAGGTGGTCGAAATAAATAAATTAAAGTCACAAAATTGAACTTGCCTAAAACTGAGGGCATATTAAACTTGTTAGATGTGAATCAACATAGCATTAAATGTTTTTTGTGATCTATTATAGGCTTTTCCTATAAAACAGAAAAATAAAGTGGGAGTGAATCCACTTTATTATACAACACTACTGGATAATGGCAATTCGGAAAATAGACATGATTTTTAATAAAATTTTAATTACTTTTTAAAATAGAAGTGAATCTCATAGAAAAAAGAATTGCACACTCAGTGAACAGCAAACAATGTCTGCATAATATTTGTACTTTATAAATTCATATTATTTTTTTTTTGAGAAATAGGAGACAGCGTAAAATTCTACTTCTGGTCACCGGAAATTACTCAAAATTTGACAGAAGGCAGGGGATTAAATCTGTTACTTATATTTGAAATTTCATCTATCTGAAACAGTACTCAAGTTATAGGCTTTTGAAAAAGTAAAAGTCAAATAAGTTCCACATCCGGTTACCAGAAATCGCTGAAAAGTTGACACAGAACTACAAATTTGATATAATGCTTACGTATGAAATTTTAACAACTGTACTCAAGTTATCATGTTCATAGACATACACACACACACAGACACACACGCAGACAAAATTGCAAAATTAAGTTTTTCCGACTCCGGGAGGTGTCAAACGTTAAGATTTGTGAAAATCTTGATTTCGATTTTTTTTTTTTTTTTTGCACGATTACAATACTTCCTCTATACATCGTATATGAGAAAGAAAAATAAGATGATGTTAGGTAAACATTATAAGCATTACTGATCCCAAATAACTTGCTATGTTAGTAATTGCTATTTTTTCTTCCTCCCCAGTTATTTATAGTTTCAATCTCATTGCTAATTTCAAATGGGCTTGCCTTTTACTTGCCTGGTGTTGCACCCATTGAGTTCCCTAGAGATGCTGAAGTTGAAGTTAAGGTAATGTATTTAATAAATATGTTGTAATCAGAAAATGACAATATGGTGAATATAATATTGCATTGATTTAAATCTCTCATAACTTTTTTTTTTAAATTCAAATTTTTGCAAATCTTTATTTACAGGCTGTCAAACTGACAAGTGTTAAAACACAACTGCCCTATGAATATTATGCCTTACCTTTCTGTCAGCCTCAGTCAGGTGTTGTCTACAAAGCTGAAAACTTAGGTATGTTTTAGATGGGACTTTTATGTGACTTTTGAAATTAGATACACATTTATTTTTAATGAAACTTCCATTAAAGGCTTATATTTGACTCCCAAAGTATGTGTGTGAGGCTCCACAAATCTTAGAATTTTAATTTGGCATTGGTAGATCTTTATGACAAGACAAGAGTATCAATTTTTAATCTTATTTGGTAGACAATTAGTCATTAAGTTTAATTTTAAAATTACTATATTCAATAATCAAAGGGGAGATAACATGATTTGAAAAAAAACCACTAGCGTTTGCTTATCATTGGACTGTAGAGGGTAAACTTTTTTCATTTCACTGTTGACTGATTTCAGGGCAGAGAACTAAATTTTAAGAGATCACATGCTACTGGGTGGGTTTCAATGCAAATAATTTTAGTTGTAGCCCATGTAGTGTCAACATCATTTTGAATCAATGAGCAAAAAGTGGAAATTAAGTCTTGCAAAAGAAAGGGAAAAAGACTTGTATTATATATTCACAAATTGGGTTCTTCCTGTAGGTGAAGTCTTGAGAGGAGACCGTATTGTCAACACTCCCTATTTGGTATAGTTTTTTTTCTAATTTAAAAAACAAATTATTATGCCATCACATCAGTCTTTAAAATAAGTAAGGTCTATTTATGTATCAAAATAGGTATTCAGCTTATCTACAGGCTCATATTTATTTAATATTAATTCAGCCATACTAAATACATTTGAAAATGAATGGTCCAATCAAACTGTTCTCAATTACCAGGTGAAAATGGCATCTAATGTAAAATGCCAAGTATTATGCCAAGATAAAGGCTTAAAATATGTTCCAGTCACTCTCACTAAAGAACAGAGCAAGGATATGGCGGACAAAATTATGCATGATTATTATGTCCATTTGTAAGTATTTCACTATTTAATAGCATTTTTTAAAAGTATTTTACACACCAAATTATGAAAGTGCCATGTGCTAAGGACATTGTACTATTCTAAAAACATAAAGGTACTTTATCAAAGTTTAGTAATGTATTTTCTTTAAAGGACAATACATATGTTCATTATTTCCGCCTTTATGCTTACTTAAACTTAAATTAAATTTTTATCAAGACAATAATTTACTTAAATAATAATAATTTAGCTAAACTAGTTTTTTATCTGCCATTATCTTAAATTATTGTTTAAAGAAGGAAAAGTGTCATTAAAATAATATTTCACACAATACACAAGGTGATTTAATATAAAATTGTATTTGGAAACATCTGTAATTTATAATGTGCACAGAATTGTTGACAACTTGCCATGTGCAACACCATTGGTTATGCCAGATGGAACGACTATTTACGAACATGGCTATAGGTTGGGAGTTGTGTCAGGGAAAGAGGTAATGACTTGACTGTTGTCTTACTTTTCTGTGTATTCATAATTACATTGATAACAATGTCTTAAAAATTCTTGTAGTGGATTTAAAAACTTGCATGCGAGTTAATAAAATGTTAATTTAACTGATTAAATACATTTTCATGTTGTTATTTGGAGAATTATTCAGTTTTATGACACTTTATTTTACCCACTGATCATATGACTAGTTAATAATAATAACATTTTTCTTTAGGACCTATCCTATTATAAGTTTTGTAACGTGGGTGATTGCATTAAGTTGGCTTTAAAATAAATGACCTTTTTGTACTAGGTTTTGAAAATGTTTTTTTGTGTGTAATGTTTAATAAACCATTCATTTCTCAAAGAACAATTTTTTTCTTCCTTTAGGCATTTCTTCACAATCACCTCAATTTGATCCTCAGTTATCACAAGCGAGAAGAGTGAGTAAATTTACATCTCTTTAGTTTAGATTTTAGAATGAAAAAAAACTTTTCCTATTTTTATTACTGAGCTTTTGCCCTATTGTAATAATTTATTCAGTTGGAAAAAACTAGTACACACTGAATTTCATTTTATCATTATGCTGAATTCTAACGTATTATTTTGTTATATTATAAGCATATTTCTTATTTTTTCCCCCCAGAAATGCACTCCGTGTGGTGGGTTTTAAAGTAAGACCACAAAGGTAATTTTATATAATTTCATTATTTCAAATAAACAGTGTTGAATCTTATTGATTAGCAATACCTAGTAAAGCAGGAATTGGTGTTGTATAACCCTTAGTGTTATGGGTTATTGTTTTGTTTTAGTGATATGAATATTTAGTTCAATTGATAAGTAAATATTTTTACAGTTGAATTTTCATTACTGTATTAAAAATAAAAATGTTATGCATTTATTGATGTTTGAATAATTTATTTTAGCTTTGCTGCTTCTGAAATTAAAATTGATGAAAAAACTGGATCTTGTGATATCAGTGGAGTAAAAAACCCAATGAAGATTAATGATGATGGTATGTGTTGCATCATACCGATAAGCTTAACTTTTAGTACTCTTTAATTGATGTATGGTTTTTATTCACTCTGTGTACCATAATAAAACTATACATTTTTTTTACCAGCTACAACAGAAGTTCTGTTCACCTATTCAGTGGAGTGGGAAGAAAGTGATATTGGTTGGGCCTCTAGATGGGACATCTATCTGGCCATGAGTGATGTGCAGATTCATTGGTTTTCAATTATCAATTCTGTGGTTGTTGTTTTCTTCCTCTCTGGTAAGAAATTTTTGTAACTGTTCTTTAATTATGAGATAAGTTAGTATTTATAAAGTTTTATACATTTTTAAAATTTAATTAAAATATAGTTTTCAATTGAATTAAAATGTAGTTTTTTAAACTGTAAATGCTAATTATTTTATTGAAGAGGAAACTGCATTTTAAAACTTATCAGTGTTTTATTCAGTTAAATAATTATATTTTATCTTGAAGGTATTCTTACAATGATAATGGTCAGAACTTTGCGCAGAGACATTGCCCAGTACAACAAAGATGATGATTTGGTGAGTACAAGCAAAATGTGCATTATTTTTATAATAAGAATGGCAATTTTATTCCTTATTTTTTAAAAAGAAATTTTCATTACATTAACCTTTTTAGCACATGTTTTTGTGACAAATTTTTAGGATGAAACAGTAGAAGAGACAGGATGGAAGCTGGTACATGGAGATGTGTTCCGACCACCCCGCTTCTCTAAGCTCCTAACATCCCTTATTGGAGCTGGCATCCAAATCTTTTTCATGGCACTTATTACAATTTGTATGTTCTTTTTTTTTAATTTTTGTATAAACTGCTTCCCAAGTTAAATTTGTTTAGTAGATTTAACTTACTGTGTCACTTTTACAATATTTTCATCAAATTTAACTGTGTGTTTTAGAAGGCAAGTGTGAGTTCTATTTTAATTTCTAAAATAACTTTTATTTTAGTCTTTGCTATGCTGGGAATGTTATCACCATCCGCCAGAGGCTCTCTCATGACTGTGGGAATTTTCTTGTATATGTTCATGGGGTGAGTTTTTAGTTGCCTTTTACTGGAAATTAACTCATGTGCTAATGGGAATTTTTTTTGCTCTTTACAAATATTAATAAATAATTTGCATGGCTTTTATAAGAAATAGATTTGAATAGATAAATTTTTCCCCAGTTTGTTTGCTGGCTATTTCTCTGCCCGTCTTTACAAAACAATGAAAGGACTGCAGTGGAAGAAAGCAGCTTTCCAGGTTGGTAAACATTTACTTATGTTTGAATATATACTGATCAACTGTGATCTATGAATTCTATTGCATGTTGTGCTATGCCATTAATTTTATCTTAAAACATTTTTTAACATTGGAATTAAAATTACTGTGATACTTCTTCTTATTTATTATGGGATTTAATTAAGTAATTGTTGTCAGATGTTTTTTTTTTTTCATGATTTCAGACAGCTACAGTATACCCAGCTATTATGTTTGGGATTGGCTTGTTGCTGAACTTTTTCATCTGGGGAAAACATTCTTCTGGAGCTGTAAGTTTGAACTTAATTGCTTCGAATTTAAAGTATTTTAGTTTGGAGAGTCATGTTCTTATTTTTAATAGCTGCATTTACAATATTTTTTTTTCTTTTGACAAGTTTAGCAATAAATTAAGCAATATAATGGTTTGGAAAATAAGTGTAAGTGTTAAACAGTATTTAAAAAATTAGCCAGCTTTCCACAGACCAGATAGTTTGAAACAAAAATCTTGTATGCATTTAGCTTTGTATATATCTAAATAAACTGTCATACCATTTGTATTTATCAGGTACCGTTCACAACTATGCTGGCTTTGTTGTGCATGTGGTTTGGTATCTCCCTGCCATTGGTTTTTATGGGATTTTACTTTGGCTTCAGAAAACAGGTAACAGCTCTTTGAAATATGATCAGCATATGTTGCTTTGTATAATGAACAACTTTTACAAGTAGTCATTAATTTTTAAGTTTATGATAATTTATGCTTCTGGTCATTTATCTTAAAGGCATATGAACATCCCGTAAGAACCAACCAGATCCCTAGACAAGTTCCAGAACAAACTTGGTACATGAATCCTTTCCTTGGGTAAGTCACTGAAGTATTTATGTAAATAAAACTATCAATATTTTTTTTTACTTCCTGTTTGGAGATGGATGTACATTTCAGTTTTATTTCTCACTATGCATAACCATGAGGTATTCTTACCTTCATTCTTCTAGAACACTGATGGCTGGAATTTTACCTTTTGGTGCTATGTTCATTGAACTATTTTTCATATTCACTGTAAGTATGGGAAGTCTTTTAAATCAATTGCTTTAATTCACTTGTGTTTCTCTACTCTGGGTGAATAGGCAATACAAGAAATGCATTCACCCTAGGTAAAAATGAGTGAACGCAGTAAGTTGATTACTTGGTTGTAATGATTATAATTTTTTTTTACTAGGCCATTTGGGAGAACCAGTACTATTACTTGTTTGGTTTCCTGTTCTTGGTTTTCATCATTTTGGTGGTGTCCGTCTCACAAATAGCCGTGGTCATGGTGTACTTTCAGTTGTGTGGTGAAGTAAGTACTTAATATAAGTAACAAGTTTTTTAAACATAGTAATACAAGTGGTATTAAAGTCTGTGCTTTCTTACATCATAAAAAAGTTCATTTTTTGAAAGTACTTGCAATGACATAATTCAAGAAATAGGAGAATAAATAACTGAAAATGGAGAGTGAAATCTAAAGGCATAGTACTGACCACGCTATCCTTTCATATGCGGTCATAGAAAAACGTTCTTTGACGTCATCCCACCCCCACCTCCTTCCTCCCTCCTCATGTGACTAGAGAAAGGGTACTAAATGTTTTTACTTACATAAAAAAGTTTGAAGAGTTTTGATTTAATCTTTAAATTCATGTTTTAGGACTACCACTGGTGGTGGAGGACCTTTGTTGTGTCTGGTGGTTCGGCTGTTTATGTGTTTGCCTACTCAGTCTTTTATTTTATTACAAAGGTATGTTATAGTTATAGGCTATACACTTGATATTTAAATGTTGCAAATACAGATATTTAGCATACTTTTAACTTTAAATTGCCTCAAAAACATTTTCTTGTATATTTGTAGCTGGAAATCACAGAGTTCATCCCAACCTTGCTGTATTTTGGATACACTATTTTGATAGTGTTCACCTTCTGGGTGTTTACCGGCACCATTGGATTCTTTGCTGCTTACTGGTTTATAAGACGAATCTATGGTGCTATCAAAATTGATTAGTGCTTATTTCGTGGGTTTTAGTTTTAAAAAGTGGGAATAATTGAGGTAAAATAAGTGAATGCTTGTGTGCTGATTATGTGAATATTTCAAGAGCTGTCGAGATTTTTTTTTTATTGACAAGCAGATTGTTTTTTGTTTACATGGTATCAGACGTAACATCATCCTTGTTTTTATATTTTCATCAGCTTTGTGTGCCGTTAGTGTATTTTTGTTGAAGGTAAGATGAAGATTTATATTTAATGAATTCAATTACTTGTCACAAAAATATTGACAATTAACTAAAGTATTCATGAAAGAGGTATTCAAAATAAATGGTACACAAATGAGGGTTGAATTTCTTTTAGAAAGGTTTTAATCAGCTAGCTAAATATATAATTAAAACTGCCTTTAGGATACAAATTTTTGTACCATTATTTAATGCTCTTTTATTTTAATGCAATCATTGTATCATTAATTTTTATTTATTTCAAAATCAATTAAGTTTAAACTCATCTCTCAAAAGAAAACTTTTTGATTGACACATTTATCATGTTCACATAACTGTTTTAACTATGTGATATTGACCAAAACAATGGATGATTGTTTAACAATAAAATTCTTGTATCACATGACAAAAGCAGTGCTTTCATAAAACAACTATGTGGCAGTTCAATATATACCTTACATTAATTGATTTATATTATTTTGTATATTAATTTTCTCTGTGTATTGCCATGGGTTGGTTACCTAAAATGGTTTGTTTAAAGATAAATAAATTACAAAAAGTAAAATTTTAAATTTTTAAGAAACTTCATTGACTGGTATTTCTAAGAAGTATTACTCTGCAGTACAATTAAACCTTATTTTTGTCAGAAATAGAGGCTATTGTATTGGTGACAGCATTTTAAAGTATATAGTACCTAGTTAAAATAAGTATGACAGAATTCTGATTGGACTGGATTGTTACAGCAAACTTGTGATAAGAATGCAATTATGTTCATCATGTCTTCTGTATTGCATGTTTTTCTTTTTTGCTAAAGGTACTGTTAGTTAACAGAATCATTTGATTTTTATGTTCAGGTTCTTATCATTAGAAAACCTGACATCTATATTTAAAATACTGAGTTGAAACATATTTTAAAATAGATTTCTTTGGATCACATTCCAAGTACAGAAGCCCCAGGCTCTATAAATGTTACATGTACATACACTTTGGTTCTAGCTGTTTGAAATTGTTAGTGTTTTTCCTTCCTGCATCATAAAGCTAAGGAAATGTGGCCTTTAGTATTTCAATAGAAATCTCAGTGTATGAGGGTCTACATACACTCCACATTTTGTAACAATAAACTTGTTGGAAATTAAATCATGGGGTTAGTTTCAAGTGTATTTTGTCTGTCTAGTTACATCTTGACATTTGCCATACATAGATGTATATATTTATAAATACATAAAATTAAGTACGATTAAATCACTGAATTATTTGCAGATGTTTACTTGATTTATCAGAACAAAATATGACTTACATATCTCCATAAGAGAAGTATTTCCAGGTTAAATGGGAAAATCTTAATTTGGTTTAAACAAAGTATGTACAAAGTAGCACTGCAAAGTAATTTTGAATGGTATGGTACTTGTATATATCAACAGCACTAAAATTTCACCAATCCTTAAGTTGGAGTATGTGAGTTTATGACTTTTGCTGTTTGTTACCATGTTAAGTCTGGAACTCATTCATTATGGTATTTTTTGTTTTATCTGTGGGCAGTTTAACACATTTGTAAGACTTAAATTTTTTTAACCTGTTCCCCCTTTGTTTGTATATAATGCGTATCTGATCTATTAAGTTTTGTATTTATATATAAATATACTTTTTCACCTTATTATAGCTTAATTTTATTTTAGTTTAGGTTATTTTGAAAAATATTGTGTATCATTGCTATATTTGTGTAAGTAAATATCAAGTCTATGAACTTCTGGGATTCATCATGTTTTAATTTGGTTTGAAAAAATTACAAAGTGGTTCAATAAAATGCTTGTTATTTAACAATACTAACTGTTTTGTTTTATTTTTTAAGAATTTATTCAGTTTTTTATCACCAACATTTTACTGCCTTTGCTCTCACCATTCACTCTACATTAAATAAATGCTTTTCTATGTGTTTATTTGTAACTTATGCTTTTGAAATCCCAATAAACTTGTAGAATTAATGTGATTCTATCAGTTGTTTAAAGTCACATACAAATGATTCTCTCCTTAAAGTACTTTAAGAAAGAACCTTGACATCAGTTGCTGTCAATTGAATTTTCAAGCATTTTAGTTGCACCATTTACATTTGTACTTATAAACTTTAGAGAAATTTTAAATACAACAATCCTTACAATAATGATTTGAATCATGACTATTTGCAGCAAGATTTTATTTGAAGTTGGATTATTTTACATTATTTAAGTAATTTTGTCATGTAAGGTCCTTCAAGTTCATAGCCAATTTTTCTATAGTAATTTCTTGTTCCAACTCCTGAAAGTGCAGAAGAATTAAAACTGGTAAAATAGAAATCATTTTTAAAAATTAGCACCCTCTACTAATATGCATTAACACAGTACATACATTTTAATATTGCGGCTTTAAAAAAAAAATCAAGTTACATGTTGAACATAATAAAAAAATATCTACCTGATATAACTGCAATTTTTCTGGAGCCATGTTCCTCTAAAGCTATTTTTTCGGCTTCCTCCATCAAAAGCATTCCAAATCCCTGTTATCAAAAACATAAGCGAAATAGATAAGTAAAATCCACTTTTATTGTAAATCAAGGATTTAGCTTATATCTATGTAATTTGATAGTTATAGCTTCATTAATATGTGTTGGTCTGCACCAACAAGTACCTGATGTTGAAATTTGCGTGGGTCTCTTGTATGAACTGGCACTACACTGCCGTATACATGAAGTTCCCGTACAATTGAACAGCCTCCCTTGAGCTCCGGCCTAAATGTGTCTGATGAGCATTTACGCAATCTAAGAAGACCAATGAGGATATCTTGTTCAGGGTCTTCATATGAGAGGAAAGTTTCCCAGCCTCCATTCGCAACATAATCTCTTCTTATCAACTCTGCCTGTAATTAAAATTTTTTTTTTTTTAGATATACATTAACTAAAAGAATTTGATTGCTGTTTGGTCAAAAAAATTTTGTTAAAGAGAAAATTACGGAGTAGTTGTTTTTAGCCTTCTAATGCACAAGTGTCTAAAAGTGAAGGCAGTATCTAGAGGTGTTGACATTTTTTATTATCTCTAAGTCTGCCAGATCAGCTGAGAGAAGCCCAATTATTATATTTTTCATTTTTGACATCTGAGTAGTCTTGTTAAAAGTTTTATATTAAAGCTTACGTTCAGAAAAATAGTTTTTACTTTCATGCTAAATTTCTGTAAACTTTTGATCATCCAATTTTTGTCTTAACACCTATGAGATACACACTTTTGATTGGCTATTTAGAATAAGTTTAAATGCCATTGTTTATTGTTTAATGTTTAATGCCACTGTAACGCAGGAGCTGTTAGCCCAGGGTAAAAAGCTGTAGGGTAACTGTGTAGCCATTTTATAAACCCTCTGTACTGTTATAATATAACAACAGTCGTAAAGCTAACTATCACCAATCATTTAAAAAAAGATATACCTGGTCTGGCTTGAGTTTGTTGTGAATTTCTTGAATGCCAACCTCTCTTGTTCTGATATCCCTACACTGTGTTCCCAAGTCGTTCATTCTGGCTAAAGCAAGTTCACGCAGATTACCATGCTCCACACCACTGGTTACTAAAGGCATTGGAATATCTCTGAAAATTATGGTAAAAACTGTGTTAGCTTTGATAATCTTTACATTTCTAAAAAAAATTCCATATTCAGAATGAGTCTAACAAAATCAATGTACCAGAATGAGTCTAACAAAAACAATGTTACATTAAAAAAAAGACAATAGATTAATCATAGGCAAATAAACTATTTAAAGGTAAATAACCTTTGAACTCTGTAAACTCTAGTCCAGGGTGGAACCAGTGCTAGTATTCTTGCAATCAGATCGACAAGCTGGCTTGGTGGGTAACTTCTATAACGACCAGTTTTCCATAATTCATATAGACCTGGATAAAATCAAACCATTAAAAGTTGAATAGTTTTGTAAGAAATCAAAATTACTACGTCAAGTTTGTTTTTCTGACACAAAACCCACAAAAGCAACATCTTTTCACACAAGCACAATTAAAATGATGCTTTTTATGTGTATTAATCGAATAATTAATAAAATAAACTGACCTGTGCCTCTGATAACAAGTGTGGGATATATTTTCAGACCATCTGCACGGAATGCTGGATTTTCAAAAAATTCCTATGGAAACAATATTATCAATTTATATATTAAGTAATGTTATTTTGCATATTCAAAAATAACAAAAGCATAGTAACTGCTTAACAGATTATTTTTAAAAAAAAAACAGAAAAAATGTAGATTAGCTAAATAAAATGTCTTCTAGCTATACCATATTATTAGAATACTTTTAATTGAAACAAAGCAATTAATTATAACTAAGCAAAATCATTTATTATTTAAGCTTACAAAATTGACACTTTACATAAAACCTTTAAGAGGTCCTATGAAGTAAAGTTTTAAAATTCTCATTTATCTACATGCTAAATATTTTATGGCTGCATTTTTCAAACTGGGAGGCTGCAACATACAGAAAAGGTGCAAAATGGTGCAAAAAAAGATTACAGAGATGTACTTTTGAAAAAAATGCATTATTGAAATTAATGACAAAAAATATATTATTATTAGGCCTATATGATGATAACACAGATTTAAGCTTGTAAGCTATTTTTAATTATAATAGTATTTACAGCAACTTGAGTCAAGCATAAATATTCATTAGATTTACATTTATCTGTAAAACATGTTTCTGGAACTAAGTATGGTTAATATAGGAGTTGTTAATGTATAATATTGGTTCTTCTTGTGTAGGACATCTGTAAAAGATACCACCTTTAACCATTCAACATCTTATACGATATTAAAATGAAAACTGAAGCTAAATGGTATATTGATAAGGTACATTTGAAATTGGTTTAAAAAGAACCCTTTTATTTTTTTCTGAAAATCCAAATTTCTAGTCTAAAATGAAAGAGACAGGAAATTTTCAAGTGTGAAAAATTAAAATATGAATTATCAGCAGGGAGAAAATTGGTGCCCTAAATCTAGATATTAATTTAAGTCAAATTTTGATTTATTTTAATTTATTCAAATTTATGTCTAGGGTCACATTGGTTGGGCTAGTAAAGCTCATGGCTGCTAAACCAAAAAGAGTCAAATGAGACTCAACAGCTGGGGACAGCAACCCATCAAGGAGAGAAAACTCCTAAATCACATTAATTCTGCCTTGTAGTTTGCTATTGGATAGACAAAGGCAATGGTAGCAAACCAAGAAAGAAAAGCAGACTGACATTAGAGTCAACTGCCCATACAAAGCATAACATGTTGACACATAATAATTTTGTTAGGAAGAAATATCTTATAAAACCGCAATTAAAAAGAAGCAAGTCATGTTATGAAAGTAATTTGCCAAGGAAAGATGCAAATACATTTAAAAAAAAAAATTAAAGTGGGAAGGCGCAATAGTCTTTTTAAAACTAAAAAAAAAACTTGCAATAAATTGTTCAATATCTCTCTCCCAGCCCACATTAGGAAGATCTGGCATCATATGAGAAACAACTTTAAACCCAGCATCTTTGGACATTTGAAATGACTCACACACTGCTTTCACTGTGTGTCCCCTGAAAGTAAAGTATTTCTGAACTTTATTTATAAACCAATTAACAATAAAAATTACTGAGATATTAAAAGAGTAAAATACCTTTGACAAAAAGTTTACAGTCACTCTTAGAAGTAGGCCTATTTGCGCTATAAATACTAATTCCCTGGGGTAGTTGATACATAAACAAAAAAAGTGACTTTTGAAGTGAAGGAGGTGATTAATTAACAGTAATACAGCGAGCAAGAGATTAGTTGTACGTTCCGTTTCCTCTTTTATCAAAGTTTATAAAATTAGCTTGTAGAATAGAGAATTGTATCTGACCTGTTAGTGTCTCTGGCTACATCTTCGTAAACACTCTGGACACCTATCTCCAGCCTTGTACAGCCATATCTCAACATGTCACTGACAACAGAAGAACAAAAAATGGCATTATTTTGAGTGGCTTATTTCTAATCCAACTACTTATGTTGAAAGTTGCTTTTTGTCAGATTTAAATATGTAATATAAATAGTGAAAACATTCCAAGTATGGTGTATTGTAAAATCAAATTTTAATATACAAATGTAACATGCATAATTGCTATGTGAATCTTTAATTAAATAAACTTGAAAACATAAGTTTATTTTAGCATTTTAAAAAAAAGTGTAGTGAAGGGACTTTATATAACTTTATTATTAAACTGATATATATTTGCTCTTATAGCTCTTAGCTAACATACTTTTTATATCATACCTTAAATGTTTTTTCAGGCAGTAATCTGGTCTTGTTTCTATAGTTATTCCAATGCATTTTGTTGTACTCTTCTCTGAGTATCTATGCAGACAAACACATACAAATTTCAGATGATATTCTTCGGATTTTTCTGCACGTTTTTATTTTAAAATTATTCCCTTTCATAAACAGATATTTATAGGCTCAAATCAAGTAAATCTTGTTGAAACTGTCAGCCTCAACACAAAAACCTACTTGACAGCTTCTTGAACACTGGAGCTTGTATGTCCACTCAGTGCATCATGCAGATTTCTGGAACAAATTGTTTTAAAAACTTGAATTCATTTTACTCATTTCATTATCAATATACAAAACTACAGAGGTGTACAGTGGAGTTCTTTTCTATTACTATGTATATCTATATCTAAAAATGAAGCAGATTTACCTGATGAAGTAGTCCCTGTAGTCATCAGGTAAGCTCATGAATGTCCCACCCATCACAATAAACTCTACTTTGTCCACACTGTGTCCAAGTTGTTGAAGCTGAATCAAATGTATATTTAGTGATTAAGTGTGATTGAAGTGTTCTATTGGTGATTATGTGTGTTTGAAGGGTTATCTTGGTGATTATGTAGGTTTGAAGTGTTATGTTGGTGACTTTTTGTGATGTGATTACAAAACTTCACTGAATATTGATGAGAAAATGTCAGCACAGAGAACTAAAAGTACCTATCAAGAGGGGTTGGTGCAAGAGTGGTTACCTCCCAATGTTTGAAGTATTTAAGTTTATAGTTAAAAGTGGATGTATAAAAAGATGTACTAAAGACCAGAGCCAGAGTACACAATCAGGACACAAGGGATTATCCCATACTATATGAGGTACTCAGAAAATAAAGCACACCTGTTCCACTCTGTGTCTTGTTTGTAAATAAGGGTTGTATCTGGCTCTAATTGCTCTCATAGATGTGGGCTGAAAAAGAAAATAGAACACTGTTTAAACACTGAAAATGTAATACAAATTTGGATGAGAGGAATTACTATTTACTTCCATTCAAAATAAACTGTTAGCAGCTTTTATCATATTAACTTACCTCATAGCCAGTGTATGACTGTGTTGAGTATTCAAAATCAGAATCGGGACCACCAGGACAATAACTGGAAATTTTTTAATAGAAGAAAAACTTTTAATTTTGATGGATATAAATAAATAGTACACTTTTCAAAAAAATAAAAAAAGCTTACTTACAAAAACCTAATAAGTGGTGATACAAAAAAAAAAAGAAACAACTTTCAACATTGTGCGTCCAATGAGATGTCTGAAAACTTACACACAAATGTTCCCTGTCATAGCAATGTGTGGACACCTGTGTGGCTTACACATGACTGCAACAACAGCAATCTAGATAGAGAATTGAATGTATTAAGTTAAAGACAGGTCAGTAGATAGAGAATTGAATGTATTAGCTTAAAGACAGGTCAGTAGATAGAGAATTGAATGTATTAGCTTAAAGACAGGTCAGTAGAGAATTGAATGTATTAGCTTAAAGAAAGGTCAGTAGATAGAGAATTGAATGTATTAGCTTAAAGACAGGTCAATAGATGGAGAATTAAATATGTTAGGTTTCATAAACATCACTAATTAAAGCTTGATTAAAAAAAAAGAAATTTTAAAACAAAAACATACTCCACTAGCAGTTCGCACAGGCTTTGCTTTCAATTTGGGAAGAAGAATCTAAAGAAAAAAATGAATGTTTTGACCTATTAGAAACTAAATAATATCTGTTCATTAAGAGATGATTCGATTAGAAGAATAAGTTTTAGAACAGAAGTAATAGAAACAAAGTATAAACCTTCTTGTATTCTTGTGGTACTGCTGCTATGATGTCCACCAGACGAGGCTGGCTGGACATGTTATATTTACTTGCTATTTTGGTCTTTAGCCTAAAATATAATACATCATACATTTTTAAAAAATGCAAGAGCTGTTTAAAAATGCAAGACAGAGAGTATTTTTGTTCCATTACATTTTTTTTTAATAAGACTATTAAATAGTAGGTAAAGATACAATTTCAACCTTAATAGGTCAGGTAAGGTAGAGTTTCTGTGGCCTACACATATGAAGTGGTTGTGCTGTCAGTTCTATGCACAGCTGAGTGAACTCAGAGATTTCCTACTGATTAGAGCCTGGGATAGAGACTATATTAAGCACTTGGGCATGGCACCTCCAGCCATGCTTTCCCCATAACATGAAACAGACTAGTGTTATATTTAAATGACTCTCCAACTCTCTTCTCTATGTTCCACTTTGTATGTATATAAGTAAAAACATACTTGTTAAGATCAACATCCCTCTTTTCCCTGTCTGCTATGATCAGCTCATTGACAATTTCTGTTACAGTCTTGATCATCAACTCTTCTTTAGAGAGGCCAAGTATTTCTGTTTCACACAAAAAAAAGCTTCATTAATATTTAACAATATAAAGATCTACAAGAATCCATACAAAGTATGTAAATAGTAATAAGAAAAACATTTATCATTTCATGCTGAGAATTTGGAAAGTAAAAATATTTATGTAAAACACAAATAATTCATTTATTAGTTCATGAAAATTAGCACACAAGAACTTTTTTTTACCTTTCTTTTTGTTTTTCCCCATTGCTCTCTGATACTGTACAAATAAAAATTGCTGAATAATAATTTAACCTTTACAGTAGCAGCTACAATTTTCTGTAAAATATTTCAATAGAAAAGTGTATTAGATATCTTATTATAATTAAGGTCTACTTCAAAAAAGAATCTAGCCTCGAAACAAAATACTTTTAAAACTATAAAGTATAAAACACTAAAACCATATAGGACTAATCGCACAATATAATGTCAGAAATTATCCAGTAATCTTTGTTGCTTTTTGTAAAAATTAGTTTATTCAACCGTAGAAATATAAATAAAGACGAGTGTACTATTTAATATTTTAAGTTTAATTGACATAAGGAAACAGAAATAAAATCAACATTAAGAAAATTAGCAAGAATAAGTAGATCTAATTATAAAATAAATAATTAAGTCAAATGAAGCAATTAATGTTTTTTAAAGAAGCACAAAAATTAAAATCTTGCAAAAATTTGTGACAAATTTCTAGATCTAGTAAAAATGATTACCAAGTTAGTAAACAAGGCTAGAACAATGAATAGCAAAAATTTATAAGCATACCCACCCGAAACCATTAGCAAAACAGTATATAACATGAAATAAAAGTCAATTTAACCAAATTTGTAATTGCTCTGTATTATTATTAAAAAAGCAATCATGCCAGATAAAATATGTTTGAGTTTATAGTATTGGTAAAATACGAGACTCAATGCAAGAAGGGTGCAAAAACTGCCTGTCAGAGAAGAAAAAACAACAACCGATTGCATAAAAAATGGTAATAATAATAATCGTTTTAAGTTCGTAGAATCAGCTGAGGCTAGTAATGTGAGAAAAAGTTGGCTCATTGTTAGGCTTTAATAGAAGTATATTGTGGTATATTTGTATCAAATGTTATAGATAACTGAATTATAAAACCAAATCAATGACTAAATATAACAATATAGGCCAGAAATTAACTTTAAACAGCAGTGATTGTGAGCAAGCTTTGCTATAAAAACAGCTGCCATCTATAAATTAGAGTGGTTTCCCCTGATCTTTATAATTTCACCAAAATAACTTAAGATTGCTGCTAAAGTAAATGAGCTTGTTTCATCTCATCTGATGAAAACGTCAGAAGTCTTCATTTATTACTGAAAAGTTTTAATACAATTGTTTAAAAACAGGTACACGAATGAAACTTTGAAACATTTTTGTAACTTTCAAAAGATAAAATCCTCCTAAAAATGTGAAATAAATAAATAGGCCTACTAAAATTTAATGAGTCACCTTTTTTATTCACATTACTAGTCTCCGCCGATTTTACGTACTTAAAATGAAAGATTACCAAAAAAATATCCCTGCAATTTTACAGGAATGTCGAGCATTTTACCACCTGGCCACTTGTGTTTTGCATTTAATAAAGAAAGATTGTCGAAGTACCCATGGTTTACATTACATGATTACAATTACAGTATTCTGGAATGGTGTGGCAGACTTTAAATTAATAGGCTACTACTAACTACTACTTACTAGAATTCTATTCTAATGTCTAATCATTAATGTAATAATATTAATACTTTTACTTTTAATTAATAGGCTTACTTTTCCTTTTAGATTTTACACTATTTACTATAATTTTTTAGAGTTAGACTCTTCTCTTAACTCTTCAAGTCTCTTCTAAACTTCTTAGCCAACTTTTTTTACTTTTACACTTCACTTGACTTCACAGTAACTGAGTAAGTCGGTCGAGTAAGACAAGACACTGTGTGAGTTAAGTTAGTAAATTATTTATAATATTTTAGTATAGTTTTAGTTTTAGTAGTTTTAGAAGGTTCAAGTAACAAAAGACTAGATTTCTAGATCTAAAATATTTTAATATATCTAGATCTAGTCTAGAAATAGATCTAAATGCGCTGCTGAATGAGATTTCTAGCAGTGAAAAACACACAGTCCAGTACTGAGTCGTAGAAATCTAGTGTGTAGATTAGTGTAGAAACTGTAGTTGCATTCGTTTCATTTTATGTTAGCTTAACTACCGTAATAAAAATATACACTCATACACACTGCATTGCAGTTTGACAGTTTGTTTTAAAAAATGAGTAGATCTATGTTAATTGATAAATTGTGCAAGTTAAAGCTATTTACTAATTATTATATAAAAAATACTCTACATTGGTAGATCTAGATACATTTACGTGGTTAAAATATGATAATGAATATAATAATAAACAATTATATGACAAATGCTATTTAACATTTCTTCTTTGGGCCTACTCTGTTAATTTACGTTTGATTTTGGCGTTTAGTATGACGACTGATGAAATCGAAAATAGACAAGTAAAGCCTAGAGCTGACTGTAACAGCTGTATTGTTAGTGTTTTTTTTTATAGGTCTATAACACAACCTAGACTAAATACTAAATACATTGACTAGTTTTTATAGACCTAGTGTTTCGAAAGAGTGTACACTACCACTACGACTACACATACAGTCTATGGTATCGTGTAACTGTAGCAGCTCTTCTCTACTCACTGCTACTCAAGAGTCAAGTCAAGACACAAGAGTTCACAAGAGTTGAACTTGATAGTCAGATTCTCTGTGATAGTTGATAGTATAGAGACTGATAGTTTAGTAGTATACTGATAGTAGCGACAGCTAGATCTAATTCTAAAAAGTAAGAGGTGCTGTTAAAATTGAAATAAAATTTTATAGGGGCCTAATAAAAATATAATAAATTAGTGGGGGGGGGGGGGCGGGAGGGACGATCTGTCCGAGATTTAAAGGGAAGATTCGAAATATCGGCCATTTACTTTAATAATTACTTAAGTACACATAATCACATGACATATGGCTTGCAGTTTCTTCCAGGGAGCCCTGAAAAAGTCTACCCACCCCCTCAACGAAATGGAATTTTTCATAGAAAACATTCTTTTTACCAGTGTCTGCCCCCAGGAAAATGTCCGCCCCCCCCCCCCCCCCCCAGACAAAAAATACTAACCAGTAACTCTAACCCCAACCCTAGTTCTACCATACGCCTATCCGCTAACCCTAATTACGAACCATAAAACAAGTTGAGATTACAATACTAACAACCTAACACACCTAATTTTTTGGAAGAGTCCATTTTCGGACATCATCCCTTCAATCATCCCTAATATCTATCTTTTTCTTGTTTCTACAATTTTAGATAAATAAACATGTCAAATCCTGGAGAGTGCACAGTGGTCATTATGGCTGCAGGCACTGGATCACGAATGACAGACCTGACAAACCAGTGCCCTAAACCTCTCCTACCTATGGGACAATTTCCTATGATATGGTATCCAATCAGAACACTAGAGAAAGCAGGATTCTTAGGTGAGAAAAGTTATGTTAGATATTAGACATTGCTAGTACAGTGATTTATTCATTCAAAGTAGACAACGCCACATTGTAATGTCGATTTGTACAATTACATAAGCCTATACTTTGATAACATATTTTTTTAGAAAACTTGTTTATAACATGTTAAAGGCAAATGAAAAGTCTTTTTCAAAATACAATTTTAGACATCATCATAATAACAAGACAGAGTTGGCAGGAACAAATGCACAATGCCATTTTTGTGGATAGTGTGCCTCTCAAAGCTCATATTGAGTTCATAGTAATCCCAGACTCTGATGAGTCAGGTACAGCAGATTCCCTGAGACTTGTAGCTGACAAAATCAAGGTTTGTTTTCATTACGTTTTTATTTTTCAGTACAGTCTTTACAATTCTAGGATGTAGTTGTATGAAAAACACATGGGAATAAGTAGGAATGCCCCATGTCTAGTAGAATCTACATAGGCCCGATGTCATGTTGTAGTGGTCCAGAGGCTGTACCTACCACAATGTATGGTTGAAAACTCTTCTTCGATTGAGGACTGTGGGGCACAGGCATATGACAGCTTAGTGTAAGGGCATAGGAGGAGTGTTTTAGGGTTGGGTAACATGGACATATGGAGACAATGACTCAATACACAAGGATGATGCAGTCTACTGTTGGTGATTCTAGGGCCTAGAAGATGTTGCATGGGGATATGTAAACAACGCTAGCTCAGGTTACCGTCCCTACAACCTGACAGCACTGCATCGTCTTCATGTAGTCTTGATTACAGCTGCCCAACAGCGCGACACAAAAAAAGCAGTCTAGTTCAGATCACGGATGAGCCCCCAATTATATGTTGTGAACACTAACACGCCTTACAGGTGATACAATGCATAGCTCAACGTACAAGACAAACAACCACAAATGGGTTACAACACAAGACTGAATGAAAACAAATGCTCGTTAAAACTAAAAGAATTTAATATCTAAACTATATACACCTAACACAGTCTATTCTAAACACAAAATACAAAAAGCTAGTAAAACTATGATACAGTGGCTAAATACTAGTATAGACCTAACCTATACTAACCTTGGAGATCTGGATGAAACTGAGGAAATCACAGACATTTTCATACACCTTATATACCCTCTCACAAACTGGTACCAACCGGACTATTACAACTCACAACACAAGAACTGAACAGGGACGAACAGAACAGGGGAAAAGGGACAAAAAACATTCACTCCCATTCATCCTTCACTCGATCACTACAAAAATGCTATTCAATAAACTAATTAGTTTCTATGTTGGATGGATATCTAAAAGACAGAACTTTAGTTTTCGCTCTACTTGCACTTTGTTTGGAGTTTTTAGTATTCAATTTTTATATTATGATTTATTTTAATGTTAGTTTTTTTTTTTTTTTTCTGTTTTAGAAACGTGGACTCATTATTTATAGTTTAAATGCAGTAAACAGCTTTACTGTAAAATTTGATTCTATGGACTTCTGATTAATGTTTAATCATCTCTGAATGTTTATTATTTTAGTTGTTTTGTTTTTTCTTTAGACACATGTTATGGTAGTCAGCAGTGACTTCATTTCTGACTGTGACCTGTCCGAAATGCTTGCTGTGCACCGGAAACACAGCTCATCCCTCACTGTTATGTTGTCCCAGCTACCAACATCAATTATTGCTGAAACTCAAGTTCCAGGTTCTAAGTCTAAGCAAAAAAATTCCTCGGGTATGACAATTTAAAAAATAAATTAAACAGTAAAATATCTTGAACTTTTTTCTGTGATTCTGCTTAAATAAATAATTCTAAATGTCTTTTACAATATTGTTGTAAGATTATTGTTGTTTTTATAAATAAAGTTTATTTTAAACTATTCTATATTTCTAAATTGAAGAATATGAAAGCCAGCATTGCAATGCATAAATGTTACAAAAGCAAACAAATCTATCTCCAGCAGAAAAGATCTCCATTGGATTTGAATCAGGTAACACAGACCACATTCTGTTCTGGAAATCTGAGATTGATATGGAGAATTTTTCTTTTACCAAGAAATTTTTAACCAGGTAATTTAACTATTATTACACTAGGGAGCTACTACATTTGCTAAAATCTTTTTTTAAAATTAGAGTAAACTATGAATGATTTGTGTACTCCAGAAATTGCGATTATCTTTTTGTTTACTTTTAATACCATAGGGTTATTTTTACTCCTTATAGGTTTCCAAGTATAAATCTACAAAGCACCTGGACTGACTGTCATGTCTACATTATAAATAAATTTGTCATAAAATACCTGCAAGACAAAGAGTAAAGTTTTTTCCTAATCAATTTAAAATTATTAGATTTAAATATTTTATACAAATTAAATTTCAAGACCACCAGAGAAATATGCAGACCTGAAGCAATAAACTAAAAAGACTATTACTTTTAAATGTAAAATTTTCATGAAATGAAGGAGAATAAATACATTTAAAAATGTAAACTCGATAACTAGGGGCAAAAATTTACTATATTTACTTTTTCTATAGTTAAATAATGGTGGGAAATAATGTTAAAATATGTTTACGTAAATAGTTTTACCCTGTTGTGTTTTTGTTTGTACATCCTGTAATTTATTCTTTAAGCATCATACCACTCAGGCATTAACATTTTCTAAATTACCACCAGAAATTTTTTAGATGTTAGTCACTCGACTTTTTATTTTATCACTGAATAAACTTGTATTTTAGAGACATTAATTCACTTCAAGGGGAGCTGATTCCTATGGTTGTAAAAAAACAAATGTCAATGTACACTAAAGGTAGTCCAAACGAGGACCAGGATTTAAATGGCACTGATCAAGATTTAAAAAGTGAAGAAAAGAAAGGTACATTTTATTCTACTCATTTCTCTTTCCATTGATATTATCTTAAGATGATTAGGCCCTACAGTCAAGTCTTTTATTACAAAATAGGGGGTTGTTTGCATTCAGAAGAAACAAATTCTTGTTTATAATAACACTCACTGTGAAATACATCTGGGCATAATAGAAATTTTTGCCATTGAACATAATGCATTGATGTAACAGTTAATGAGTAAATGTCTATATTTCATAACCATTGAACATAATGCATTGATGTAACAGTTAATGAGTAAATGTCTATATTTCATAACCTGTTTAACAGTACTTAGTTTTTAAACTGCCAATTCTCTCAGCTTGTCTCTTTTGTTAAAAATTATTGAGTTGATATGAGTATTTTATAAGAAATAAATTTCTTCCACAGATCTTATTGATTATGCTGTGAAGTTTGAAAACAATTTGATTTCACCTGTAAGATATTTATCATTAAACAGTGACAGCTTTGGTAAGCATATTTTCTATTTATAGCGCTGCAGTTTGTTTAGATCATCCAAGTGCACATCCTAAAAATTAATTTGTATATCTACATTACCCAGGTATGAATGAAAATACACCTCATAAAGACCTTATAAGATGTTATGCTTACAGACAAACTAGTGGTTTTTGTGTGAGAGCTAATAACATTGTGTCTTATTTTGAAGCTTGCAAACAGGTAAAATAGAAACCATTGCTTTAGTTGTCAAAATTTACATTAAGAAAATTGTATTCAAGTAAATTTTTTTCACAAGAAGTAGTGTTTTAAACTGATTGTCATAGTACTATAATCACTTTAAAAAATACATTATCACTGTATTAAATCTATTCATATTATTTATATTGAAGGAGCACTAATAAATGTCCATGGAGTTTTACTTTTATTTCTATTTATGTGATCTAGATGCCTCGTCTTATATCACAATTTATAACTAAAAAGCGGCTTGACTCTGTGTCTACTGTGCATGATTCTGCATCCAAAAAGCCCAAACCTCAGGTACGTCTGAATAAATGTTAGAGCAGAAGGTGATCCCATGCTGTACATTAAAGAGAATGCCATTAATTATTATTACTTTATGTGTCTCGCTGTTTGATATAGCTACTGCCTGAATTATTGTTTTGTAGATTAGGAAAACAAACAATAATTCTTAGTATATTTATTCTGTAGTTAATTACTGTGCTATGTGTTTAAAAGTTTTGTTACTAAAGCAACTACTTAAAAGTTTCTAAATCAGTTACTGCATCTTTTAAAATGATAACAAATGTATTGTATTATGATATCACAAGTGTTGTATTACCTTCTAATTATAGTAAAATATGTATTGATAGTTGACCTATCCACTGTTGAAAAATTAAATCCTGTCTAAGAAATAAATGTATAAATAAAATGTTTGGATATACTTTATACTGTCAGGTTGGTGCTGATTGTTTGCTTGGTGAGAGTGTCACAGTGGGAGAAAAAGTCACCATCAGCAAATCTGTTATTGGCAAACATTGTAAAATTGGGGATAAAGTCAAAATAACTAACTCAGTCATCATGGGACATGTGAATATACAAGAAAGGTAAATGTGATCTGCTGCTGCCATAAAGTCTCTTGTAGGTGTAATGGTTAGTGTACTTGTAGTATGTACAATGTAATTTAACAATTTTTAACATCTTTACTATAAATTCTTTATCTCTTAGATATCAACATTACTAATGTTTTTCAGTTCAAGCATCACCAATTGTATCATAGCAGAATCAGTAATCATAGGAGACAAATGTGAACTAAATAATTGTATTGTTGGACAAAATCAGAACATATCTAACATGTGTAAGTTGCTGCTCTAGGATTATTTTTCATTTGCATACTAGACATTAAAATATAAATTATAAAATGATTTGAAAAATATGTTTTGATTTTTGTTTTGTGCAAACAGTTAAAATAGAATATTATGTTATTTTTATCAAAATGGATCTCTTTAAGTAATATTTTGAGCAAAATACATAGATCTATGTTGGTCTGGTTGCAACTGAAATTTTAAAATTTTAATTCTTTTAAACATTTTATGGACTGTTAGTGTTAGACTTTCATTTGGAATTTTAATGGTGGTTTAGGTGTAAGACATAAGTAATCTGTTAATACTAAGTGTCAGAAAAACTGTCTTTGGTACTATTTAAATAATTTCATCAATTACACAGTGAATGTTTTTTTTTTCAGCCAAGCTCAACAATGAAGTTATTTGCTCTGGATCACAAATGGAGGTTCCATTGGAATGACAATTAAATAAAGCAAAACTGCATTCATGGTGGATTGTTATAGGTGCTGGCATTCTTGCATTTGTGATTTCAAGTCTTTATTTTTCTCCTCAAGTATTAAGTAATAAAATGTGAATGTAGAATCATGCAAATCGTTTGTATTTCTTTTTATTGAGATGCAAATTTTCTTTTAAATGTTAAAGATAAAACACAAATTAGACAACATCTAAAATCAAATGATCAAGGTGTTTAATACCTATTTTTTAAAAGGCTTTCATAAATGAAAAACTTTATGGATGTTAACAATTGGTTTCTTAGTCACAGACCAATATCTTTGCCTTATTTCAATATGCTGAATATACATTGATGATATCATTGGCATTACAATTTTAAACTTTTGGTGGTAGATAACATTCAGGTAGAGGCTATTCTAAAAGCAGTTTTGACTATTTTATTTACACTAGTTAGAACACAACTAGGTATATTTTACATATTCAAAACATCCATGTTTGACTACTATTATTTTGTTTTCTTCATTATAAAAGACATGACTAAAATTTTGGAATAAAAACAAAAATTATACTAATGCAAATTTTATGACAATAAGCCATGTTCTAAAATGTATCAGTACAATATTAGTAACAACATGAAACTTTTGCAATACATAGTAAAATTATTAAAAACTGCTGAAAAAATATAAAATATCAAATTTCATATTGAGCAATATTTTTACAAGTTCATGTTTAATATTTATTTGTCCCTTCATATTTTGTTTGTTTTAAAAACAATTAGTGTTAAAGGCTTACAGGACAGCTAAACTGTCTAGTCTCTTGGCAAAATCAAGCATTGATTGGACAAAGGTGGCTGCCATTTTGGATCAGGATTTTTGTTGTACATTTGCTTGAAGGTTGTAGTATCAATATTCTTTCCTGTGTGTGACTTCATTTCCAAGTACATACCTTTAGAAAAACAAATGTTTATAAAAGTAACAAGTTTTAAATGCACTCTTTTGAAAAAAAAGATCAAGGTATTTGCTTGCAATCTAAGTCACATAATTGTGTTTAAATGTATGCTTCAACTAAATATTTTATTTCACATGTATTTTTGTCTAACTGAACTACACAAATACAAATCACTCAGCATTTCTAGCATTAAATAGGTAAATAGTAGGCTTGTAATAATCAATAAAATATTTCTCTTCTGGCTCTAAATACTTCTGCACTAAATCTTACCTAAATTATTTTTAGGTGGAATAGATATACAACGATTCCAATATGGTTCTTCTAAGTAAATTAGATCTCTTATGTTTTTGGATATAATCTGTCAAAGCAAAAACAACATTGTCATTTTACTTTGTTAAGACACTTATATTCTAAGAAGCTTTCTGAATTTCCATTATTAGTTAATTATAAATAACTAAGTAACAAGAAAAATCTTCACAAAAGATATTTAAAATATATCTAGTCTACTTTCAGAAAATGGTAGAAAGGCATGGTCAAATGGTATAGGGTTTGGCTACTACTCCAAAGGTCTTGAGTTTGGGTCTTGGTCCTGACCTGGGACTGTATTATGTCCCTGAATCCACCCTCCTCTGATGGGATAGTAAAAGCAGCTGGATATACTGCTGACCATACCATCCCTTCATAAGCTGAGGTCAAGAAACATGAACTCATACTTCATATCTATCTTTAGGTCTGAGAGGGGAGCATTCCTTTTTTTTTACTTTCAAGTAATATAGTTAAAAAATAGCTCCATTTCACCATTATTTAATATTTAAGCTAGCTAATTTCTAACCTTAATATGGTCAAAATCTGTTATTCCTATCTTTGGAAATGCTGATGCATGGAGACAACATAATTTCCTCCCATTTATTAAATTTGTCACAATGCATGGCTGAAAAAAGGTAGGTAAAAGAGAAAGCTAAACATGTTAATACAAAGAATATATATGAAAATCTATTTTAAGCCAATACATATTTTCCAGTGTATTAGTCTTTTAAACTGGATTTGTATTATATTTTATTTATTTTTGTATTATGTACAACATCATTACTTAATTTCTTTAAATTGAATTTAGACTATTTTGTGATAAATTAATTATTGTCTTTGTTTTTTTAGTACTGATTCACATCACAATTCAATGTAATATTGAGAGTGCCCATAATTTATACTAGTAAAGCTACCATTTCATTATAAAGTTACATGCTAAGCCAACAGATCTGGAACTTTCAGAGAACTAGTTTTACACCTACTACTAGTATCCAGAAATAACTAGTCAGTTCTGAGTTAAGAATTTAGACCTAGACTTTAGGGGTCTAGCTAGAAGTCTATGATTTTAGTTTTTATTCTAAAATTTAAAAAAATTCACTGTTAAAAAAAGTACCTAAGACTAAGATCACTAAGATGCCAAAGGCGCCAAAGGGCCAACTTATCTAAAAAAATTAAGCTCCTAAGTTAGTTTAAATACTTTAATTTGTATGTAGCCTATATACTTTAAATTTACTTTATATTGTGGGAATCCCAACTCTTCTATCCAGTCGGCGACATGCTCGGTGGTCCAATAGAGAGCTGAAGGGACTCTCCTATCCTTCAAGTCTTCTACAATCGTCGCTTGTGCCGACGCCATCTTTGTTTATGGTCTCCTAGCATTCATATTATTCACGTGACCAGGGAGCATACATTGGAAATTGGAAATATATCACTGTCAAAATTATTTAATTATTCAACAACAAAAATAAATAAATAAACAAACAATTCGGTACAAAAGTGAACGTAAGAGCTTTAAACAGATTTATCGAATATGTAGTCTAAATGCAATGAATGTCTACTTAATTTTTTTTTATTTTTTTTTTAAATTTATTTTTTTTTGCTATCTAGATCTATATAGTGATTGGGCTTTGGGGCAGTGTTTCTTCCAGACTTTTTTTCTCCGGGGGGGGGGGGGGGGGGCACTTGAAATTTTCGGGGAGGGGGGGGGCGGTAGACTTTCTTCGGGGGAGCGGACACTGTTAAAAGTATATATTTTCTATATAAATTATATACATTTCATTTCGTTCGGGGGGGGGGGGGGCGGGGCGGTAAAAAAAAATTTTGGGGGGGGGGGGGGGCGAAGCCCGCCCCCCCCCCCCCCCCCGAAGAGATGCCTGGAAGAAACTCTGCTTTGGGGTCGTCCGTAAATGACGTCACACTCGTAGGGGGAGGGGGGTCCGTAATTTTGTGACGGTGTGTGATAAGGGGGAAGGGGGGGGGGGGGGTGTTCGATGGTGTGACGTCACACTTTTGCATTATAAAAAAGCAATGTTAGGAAACGAGTTTTAGTCGTTATTTCGCGTTTTAGAAAACGGCTTTAATCAATTGTAATAAGAATTGATCAAAATACTCCATGTTGTCAGAGTTCTGACAAGATTTTGGAAAAACAACGATGTTTTAAGGAAAATTCAACAGCTATTTTGAGGGGCGGTTGTAGGCTGAGGTGTGGCGTAATTTTTTTTTTTGGGGGGGGGGGGGAGAGTCTGGCTTTATTGTGACGACGTGTGGCGGAGGGGAGGGGGGAGGTAAAAATCGACCAAAAAAAGCGTGACGTCATTTAAGGATGACCCCTTTTACCGTAAGAAGTCAATCCAATTTCAATTTGTGCGATTAATTATAGGCTTTTATTTAGTATACAATATGTGTTTGTTTCTTTGTTTGTGGGTTTGTGACAAACCTTGTTCCTTGTTTATTCTTTCCAGATAACATTCGTTTGCGATGATAATGTACCGATATATAATATTTTATTATAACAAGATATTTTATAAATCGTTAAAAGGTATTTAAAAATAGCTAAATTAAAAAATAAAAGGGGATGACGGTGAACTGTCGCAGCTGGTTGATTTCTAAGTTTCTTGCTCGAGAGTCCACTAAGGACGAAGAAAGGGCGGGTAATTGTCTTTCAGTTGTCTTTTAGAGATCGCAAGCTGCTGGTCGGATTTTAATTTTAATGCCAATATTTTTAGTCATATTTGGTGTGAATTATCTAAAACTAGAAAGTAACAAAAACTAATAAACTTTATGTTGGCTGTTGTCACTTTCGCTGCTCGCCCTCCTCCCCTTCCAGCGTCTCTATAGTGCGGGTTGAACCCAATTAGCAAGTCAGATTAGCGACCTGGCAGGAAGGCATTGTTTGTGCCCCTCCCCCTCTCTGGTGGCTCGATGTCTACCAGAGGGGGAGGAATGCAGGACCGGGTAGAGCTAGAAAGGAGACGGTTTTTTTTTTTTTTGGTGTGGCTTGGAGAGAACTTTTTATACCATAAATTGCAGTCGGCCTATTTTTGTTGGGTTTTATTTGGATTGACTCATTATTTTGGTTGATTTTTCTTCGAGTTAAGTTTTGCATTTTAGTTAATTCTGGCGTAGGTTTATTTTAAGTTTAGTTGAAGAATAAAGTACCTCATAGTTACCCGACTTGACTTTGTTTTTTCTTAGTCTAGTTTAGTTTGGTTTGTTTAGGTTCAGCAAACCCATTTGACCACGAAGGTGCACGGATGAGTGAATAAGATCACATCTCGGTTCCCCCCTTACATTTATTACAATAAGTTTTTAATTAGGAAAAATGACAATAAAAATGCTTTTTTAAAAATACAAAGCAAAAGTAGACCTATTTGTCACTCGCGAAATCTTAGCGACCTGTGCTATTATTAAAGAAAGCAAGTCCCCATCCCCCCCCCCCCCCCCCAGAGCATCTAAAATCTTATTATTATTATTACTACGTTTAAAAAAAATATTTTTATTTATTTTAAATGCACAGTAGAGCTATTAGTGAGTGAAAAGCTTGACAATCATAAATCCCACCGCCCCATCACCTAGATCTACCTGAAATGTATCGTTGCAAGTTAAATCATGACTGACTTAGGCCTAATTAGAAATGCAGGCATAATATTCTTTTCAACGTTGTTGCAAGCGAATGGATAAGTGAGATAAAATGTTGAGATACAGTGCAGCAGACTCTAAACGAGCATGCAGTTGAGCATAGTCTACGAGAAGCCGTCAATCTTTATCTTGTATTACCGCCGGAAATGCACTTTTTTCTTTGACCAACTTCAGCTCGTACTCGTAATAATAATAATAGTGAACATTTGATTGACTGTAGCGTTTGTTTAACAAAAATGCACATACCATAATTTGGTAGTTGAGACTGCCAAATGTATCATGGCTTGTGGTTGTTCCAATAGAAATGTATGAGATGGGGTCAGAGTTTCTTCCAGGCATCTCTCCGAAGAAAGTCTACCCCCCCGAACGAGATAGAATTTATATAGTAAACATACACTTTTACTAGTGTCCTCCCCACCCCCCCCCCCCGAAAATATCAAGTGCCCCCCCCCCGGAGAAAAAAGTCTGAAAGAAACGCTGGATGGGGTCGATCTATGCAAATAAATTAGGCTACTATAACGTTAAATAAAGTTGGAAGTGGGTGAATGCTTACTATATGCAGTGGCGTAGCGAGGTCGGGTGTCACCCGGTGCGGCACTTAATGGTGTCACCCCCCACAGACGTAGCAGCCCTTACCGGGACAGACTTCAAATTTTCGATTTGCACCCCCCCCCCCCCCTCAAACTTTCGATTTGCACCCCCCTCCCCCTCAAGTTTTTCTCTATATATTTTGCTATTTTTTGCCTTGGTGTAACCCCCCTAAATGGTGTCACCCGGTGCGGTCCGCACCCCCGCACCCCCCCCCCCCCCCTCGCTACGCCTCTGACTATATGTAATAGATAACGTATTTGTTTCCTGTACCACACTTTGTTTTTCAATCATCAAGTTAGGAGTGAACGGTATCTACATTGTGGGGCTGTAGGCAAAATATACTAGTGAAGGAGACAACATATCAGTTTCTAAGAAAACTATTTTGCAATAAATGCACAATAACAAAAAAAAAATCATCTAGTTCTATATTAAACATATTTAATGAGAAATTAAGCAACTAATAAACAATTCTAATGACTAGGCCTACGCAACATAAAAAAAAATCTTTAAAAAAAAACGATGTCTGTCTTCTCAGTCGATGTAACCATTTGTAATGTGAATCTCAAGCACAGCAGGATTTGCTGCCAGAACAAGCTGATTTGGATAAACTTTTTTCGATGTACGCAAATGGGTCGATATCCTGAAAAGTAACACAAGAAATGGGCACATAATTAACAAAATAAGATAAAAGTCAGTGATAATTATTTTCTTAATTTTTTTCCAATGCAATTAAATCTAGATCTAGATCCTGATAGGATAGATTCTAGAATCATATAAAAGAAAGCTGCAACAAATCTTTTTAAACTTTTAAAGAAGTGTTAAATTTCTAGAATCTAGACATTTATTAGTTGATTGTATGTTTTTGATTTTATCAGAACTCACAAGGTTCGGCAACTCTTGAGGGTCTTCCTTTGCTTGCTTCACCTCGAAGTATTTAGAGAATCGAGATGTTGTCAGGATTTCAGCCAGTATATCATCTATCGCCACTCTCTTGCCTGCCTGTTGAAATGAAACCCTTTTTTTACATTAATTTAAATTGTCGAAATAGACAAGTGAGAGTGGCTGTACTGGGGGTTATTTACATGTGTGACATGTTGAATTTAATTGAAAATAATGATTTACGCTATTGGCAATCTTGAACTGGTTTTCCAACCAATGGGAGGGTTCTACTATCAGAAAGATTATCAATCAGAGATGTGGGCAAATTTCTTATATATAATGATTTTGTGAAAGTACAATTGCGTGAATCGGGGTTTTAACATTTCACACATGGGTAATTGTGTTCGCCCTACACCAACAAATGGAAAAAAAAATTGTTTAACATGTAAGCAACAAAAATATATCAACTGAGGTTACCTTGAAAGTGTAAAGTGCATCAAATTTAAGCTCATCTTCGAAGCCCTTGATCTGGCCATTATAGATAGCCTCTGATGTCACTGAGAGGTTTGCCATGTTGGACTTCTTGAATAATCTGTAGCTTACTGAGGCGTAACGAACGTTTCCTGGGAAGATTGGAAAATAATGACAGATATGTTTAAATAATTTTATTGAAACAGAATTAGGGAGTGGGACCTAGGTGGCAAGACGATGAAAGGAAGACTAACAGTAAGCTCAGTCAAGATGGAGAGGGGAGGCTGGATGTGAAGAACGTAACGAGTTTGTTGGAAGTTTTGTCACAACTTTAATAAGCGAATAAGTATAATAATAAAGATTATCCATGCGTGCATGAATGTTGAGGGTCCAGCAATTTTTATTTAATTTTTACGTGATACGAAATTTACTGACAGAGCTAAGTTATCGTCAACTCATTACCCAGTCTTTGCTTGATGCCCTCGTCAAGAACTGGCATCAAATCAGCCCTGACAATCCGGGGAACGCTGAAACCAAGCTCTTCTGCTATGGCGTGGAGTTCCTTGTAGGTCAGGGCGCCTATCAGTCCTTCACCTGCTCACCACATAGACAGTTTTTAAGTTGGGATTTAAATGGTTGCAGGTTTAAGGAAAATGTATTTAAAATGTATTGTCCTCTAGCCTTGTTTTGAGATCTACAATTAAAAATATGAAGTTACTTTGTTTTTAAATTGCTACGTTGTTTTGTTATTTCCCTTTACTAACTTTCGCACTTTATCGACTACTATCATGTTACTGTCACTTCTTTCCCTTCCACCTGAAGACTTACTCGTAGAGAACAACTTTTAAGAGCCAAAGCTTAAGTGTCACCAGTAACTCACGTTTGGCAGCTGTACCACCCATACCGCTAGTAGATACGTTGCAACTCAGCAAGATTTCAACAACGGAATACTTACACCACATTATCTCATCATCCAACACATCACTAGGGAGGACACCATCACGGTACATATCACTAAAGTACAGTTCACCTCCAGGCTAAAATCACAGTTTATAAATGTTTGACTCGTGTTAGTAATTTACAAAACCATATATGAGTTGGGCTACTCTAAACAAAATGTCTTGACTACTATCACTATATATAGTAATTAATCCTTTTCATTTGTTTTAAAATGTGATATATATATATATATATATATATATATATATATATATATATATATATATATATATATATATATATATATATATATATATATATATATAGTAGGCCTATTTCACCTTCAGAGCCCGATAAGCTTCTCGCAGCACAGCCTTTTTATCACGACACAAACTAATCACACAGTTGGATCTGAGGAGGTTACAAACAATGTGATCATAATAATATGAATCGTAATGTGTTCACAAACCTGACGATCTGTGGGGCAAGTGAAGTAGAGTTCACCTGTTTCTGTGCGGTAAGCACTATGCCCAGCCGCTTTTATTTTTCCTTACTTGAGCTAGGTACCCATCAGAGCTGGGTGAACTCATGGATGTTCTACTGAAATGAGCCCGGATTCGAACTCGAGACTTCGGGTTAGCAGTTTACCTCTAGGCCACTCAGTCCAGGCCTGACTTATTTGTACACCAGCTCAGTTAAAGCTTTGAAGTCTTAGGACTGACACTATAACTCGACGGTTTACAGATATCTCAGTACGCCTTCTTAGCTACATGCTAAAACAACTCTGTAGATAATGATATATACTTGTATTGACCTCACTTAACTAAATGGAACGGCGGGGCTAGCAGTAGAGCGCTAGACTGCTAAACAGAAAGTCTCGAGTTCGAACGCGGGTTCATCATCTCCCCCCCCCACCCCCACAAGACAACGTCAAGTAAAATATACACTCTACTTCATCTGCCGAATGGATCGCTAGGATCTCTACAGGAATCTTTACTTTCACTTAACAAAACCTACTGCATTACCACCGACACTGGCCTATACTCCGCGCCTTTTCTATTTACATGAATTTGATTAATTCTGTCTCGATAGTGCCATGGAAGTACTCACACGATGACGTCAACGTAATTGTCATCTAGTCCAGCTTCTTCAAGTTTCTCCATGTAGCCTTTGACAAATTTCACATTTGGTTTAGAGTAGCCGTATTTCAAGGTGTGGTATTCGATCTTATCAGATGCTAGCTTCAACTGTTTGCGATAGTACAACATTTGACAAAGGTATTGTGATAGGTATTTCAAATCGGATATACAAACCCATAAATATGGGATTTAAAAAAAAAAAGTTAATTTATTTATGACAATGGAAATATGAATCTGGGAAATGGAATATATTTAATAACACGATAATAAGACTATTTGGGTGGTGGATAGAGATGTTATAAGTGATACATTTTGGCATTTTGTTTTAATATCTGTGGATGAGGGGTGGGGGTATGGAGAGAAGTGAAACCAACGCGTGAAAGGTCAAAACTGTCAAGATAATCAACTACATTTTATTACGTGCACAGACGGGCTGTTTGAAAATTGTTGCAATAAAATAATAAATTAGGACAGTGTGGCATAAAATCATGGCGGGAAAAGGCTACCCGCTAACCAGGGATTCTAAAAGTGGAAGAATCTAGAGATCACCTACCAATTCATCTGTCATGTCAAGGAAGAATCTAGAGGTCACCTACCAATTCATCTGTCATGTCAAGGAAGAATCTATAGGTCACCTACCAATTCATCTGTCATGTCAAGGAAGAATCTATAGGTCACCTACCAATTCATCTGTCATGTCAAGGAAGAATCTATAGGTCACCTACCAATTCATCTGTCATGTCAAGGAAGAATCTAGAGATCACCTACCAACTCATCTGTCATGTCAAGGAAGAATCTAGAGGTCACCTACCAATTCATCTGTCATGTCAAGGCCGACTACTTCTCCAGATTCGCCCACCAGGTTACTGAGAACAAAACAATCGCGACCACACCCTGAACCCAGGTCTAGAACCCGGGCCCCATCCAGGGCTTCCGGGTAAGAGGTGGCACATCCATAGGCTCTGAAAGTACAGTTAACTTAAAGCAGACTAGCTAAGGCGCTGTTTCAATGTAAACATCATACGTGAACACCAGCTCATCAGACTTGTACTAGATCTACCCAGTTATCTCCCGTTTTTGTGCAAAATTAGCTGTTTAAAACTAATTTACAAGCTAATATTAAAATTATGTTTTTTTGCATTGTCATTGGAAAAGATTAAACAGCAAAACTTAATAGAAATCGTTACATTAGAAAGGGTTCAGAATTCAGTTACAAAATTTTTGCACAAACTGGGTGGCAACATGCATTCATCATCATCATCACCATCATTATCGCCATCATCATCATCACCATCATCATCGCCATCATCATTACCATCATCATCGCCATCATGATCATCATCACCATCATCATCATCATCGCCATCATCATCATCATCATCATCACCATCCCTCAATGCCCATTGGCGCATGAGGCATCAACAATCAACAAGGGTGCGACATTTCATTGTGTCTCTATGAATAACCTCTGCCTATTAGGATTCTTCAACTCTTTCTCAATTGATCCTCTTCTTCTTTTGACCGTCCTCGCTTTTCTTTTGCCCTGTGGCTTCCATCTGAGATCAGTCTTAGTCTACTCTCACTCTTAGCACATGACCCACCCATCTACACCGTCTATGTCTGATAACTACGATTAATGGTTGAATGAGTGGATACAGAGGCGTAGCGAGGAAGCGGGGGCGGGGGGTGCGGACCGCACCGAGTGACACCATTTAGGGGGGTGACACCAAGGCAAAAAATAGCAAAATATATAGAGAAAAACTTGAGGGGGGTGCAAATCGAAAGTTTGAGGGGGGGGGGGGTGCAAATCGAAAACTTGATGGGGGTGCGAATCGAGGGAGGGGGGTGCAAATCGAAAATTTGAAAGTTTGTCCCCGGGAAGGGTCGCTACGCCTCTGGGGGTGACACCATTAAGTGCCGCACCGGGTGACACCCGACCTCGCTACGCCACTGAGTGGACATACATTGTGACCAAAGTTAAATCTTATAAAAAGGCACCAACTACCTGCTGGAGATGTCCACGTGAACCAGACCCAAGGCGTCCAGAACAAACTTGGGAAGTTTCTCAGTTTTTCTGGAACACTGAACAACGGCCGTTGTCTTCAGGTCGTCAGTGGAGGTCAGAATCTTGCCGTAATACTCTTTAACCGCCCCTTTTTCTTCCATAGCTGCCGGTATTGTTCTTCTATGGAAAGTTAGAACATTTTCAATTTCTTTCATAGACCGTAGATAATACCCTGGACGAAAGTCCAAACCAGGTGGTGTGATGCGCTTGCGGAAACCTACGTGTCTAACTGCTGGTAACATCATGGGTGATAGAAATGCTCAATTCTTAACCCTGTTCTGGTCTGTCTAGCATACCTATAGCTTGAACCAGTGATGACCTTATACTAGAAAGGGAGGGTTGCACCACCCTCTAATAAGATAATTATAGTGTTTCAATCAATCAATCAATCGTTCTCCATCCCCTGAGATCGTTAGGCACTATAGTTGATTTCCTTATTTCTGCCATCTTTCTCGGTCTTCTGCTGCTCTAATTAATCCTGCAACTGGGAGCCCAGTCCACTCCTTGATGTCTGCCATCCAATATCGTCTTTGTCCTCCCTGTCTTCTCTTTCTTGGCAATGTGTCTTGCATTTGGCAAGTTGGCTCGTGAGACATGCTCAAACCAACTCAGTTTCTTTAAGTGTTTATAATGTGTTTAACGAAATTTAAGGTTTTTTTTTAACATTTCTATATTCAGAAATTTCGTAAGCTCCACTTCTTCGAAGAAAATAGTCTGACCCCCCCCCCTTCCCTCCCTTAATTACTCGGAGTCCTTATTGGACAACAATGACTGTAGAAACAAAAATATTTTGCCATACAGATAAGCAAAAAATATACAACACATGCCCAACACCAACATCTGCCTAACTTGCGAGAGAATCAATCCATACACCCAGACAACACGGCTTCACCGCAACACGTGTTTGTCAAAGGCAATCGTTTTTTTTTAAAATGTGACAGTAAATAGCTTGGTGTGTGTGCATATTTTCGATTTGTATGTCTTCAGGTTTAAAGTCCAATTTGAACACATACATATTTTCTCGACTAACTGCTACAAAAGATTTTTTTTAAAAATAAAGTCCAAACGTTCAACACCCAAGGGGGTTGTCCATAAATGATGTCGTTTTAACGTCGTCCCCCCCCCCCTCCCCAATAACCACAGTTTTAATGTAAATAGTACATAAGCAATTTTCATCACTTGTTTTATGTCTCTATAAAAACAACAACCTATTCTACATCACAGTTTTTAACTACCCCCCTCCCCTGCGTCATAAAAGTCCGACCCCCCTCCCCCACCTCCCTTCCAAGATTAACACGTATATGTTGCCGCAGTTCGACCGCTGAACATAACGTAACATATAGCCTCTAACAGGTAGAGGGCCTATTTATTTAACATTAATCTAGAAAAATAATTAACGGCTAATTATCACTGTATAAATTCGGGTTTAAGTCAGACGTTAGTGCACTGTGCAGCCTACACCTAATCTTTGATCACAAGGTGAGGGTTGACAACCAAGCCAAAACCATAAACGACGACACGCTTTATATAGTGATTTTATTTTACCTTAGTCACTTTCCCTATAAACATAAACCACTCCCCACTAAAATGACGTCACACTTTAGCCTGCCCCCCCCCCCCTCTCAATTGCACCTAAAAAATAAAACAGCTATTTTTTTTTTTTAATTTCAAAGCTTCAAAACGCAAAATACTGCATACAATAAAATTAAAATTTACTTTTTGTAATACAAAAGTGTGATGCTATACTTTCTGAACATCCTCTACTCGAGCGCCTCACACATCGTCACTAAAGTCTGCCCCCCCCCCCCCCCCCCCAACATAGGTGTGCTTCAACTGTTATGGATGTTCACATAAACAGCATTTTGATTTAAAAATTAGACTAATTTTGCTACGTGGGCAAAAAAAAAACCCACCATGAAAAATAAAATAAAATGGTAACTTACTTTCTCTGCTATCTCACAGACAATGCAGCCAGATAAACGTCGAACGTTGGCCCATAAAAGCTAAAACTATCAGAGGGGGGTGAGTGGAAAAAAGGGGGGAGGGACTGATATTCAACAACGCAAACGGTGCGGTAGAACTACTGATCTGCCATTTTAAATTTCCATACCTTTTTTAAGGCCTACTGTTATTATTTTTATAGAATATTTTAAACATGCATAACTGTATAACCACATGACCTACTTAAGCTTATATGTAATAATTTCAACTTCGGACATTCAAGTAAACTTAAATAAATAATGTCATTATCCTTTTAAAGAATCTGAAATGTGTTTACTTTGGGAAATTCATCTTTCTTTCGTTTCTCCCAGATGGGCTTAATTTAATTGTCTAAATTGTGACATTTAGAATCTATTATGTAAAATGTCTTGTTAAGGCATTTGCTTAAATAATTATTTATTTAGGTGTTGCGAATGTAGGTTTGTAATTGTGGACTGACACAGAGGCATAGCGACCCTTCCCGGCGCCCGGGGACAAAATTACAATTTGGCGCCCCCCTCGGGAACAAACCTTCAATTTTCAAATTGCACCCTCCCTTCAAACTTTCTATTTGCACCCCCCCCCCCCCCCGCTCAAACTTTCCATTTGCACCCCCTCTCATATATTTTTTATATTTATAATGCAAAACTGCACCTAAAACGAGATTTTAATTTGTTTTTCCAACCCATTTTGGCGCCCCCTAAGGTCGGCGCCCGGGGACATATGTACCCCCCTGCCCCCCCCCCCCTTTCGCTACGCCTCTGGACTGACACGAGTGAAAGTAGATAATAAAACGTACAAAAAACTTTTACAATACCAAGTCTGTAAATGCACAAAAGAATAAATTAAATTTGAATTTTGAAAAAAATCTTTGCGTATTCGAATCGAAACTGTTATTAAAACGTACTTATGTCAAGGTTTATTAAATTGTATTTAATTGTAGGTATACGTGAAAACTATTTTTAGGCCACTCCAATAATTTAAAATAGTCTTGGTTTCAGTAGATAATTTTGCTGCCTCGATCTATCTTATGGCTAAAATATGTATAGTTTGACTTTGAAATAGGATAGAATCTAGACTAGATAGGTTATTTTATACCGAGGCTTAAATTAACCGAGTAGCCGCAAAACGTGAAGCATTTTTAACGTGACATGCCAACATTATTTTTCAAGTAACGGGAAAAACGGGAAGAGTATTTTTAGAAAATGTGAATCTTCCGTAGCAGTCCGCAAAGTAATAAATTGAAGAATTTTATCTCTACTTATTCTCTAGCCTGGGTCTTGCTTAGAATCTTTAGAGTTTAGACCAATAATTAATTACAATTGTTCTAATAATACGTGAGTAAACATTTTATTTTATATAAATGGAGAATTTCAAATCAATGACCGACAATGTCAGTGTTATCCTTATAACAATAATTTTTTAAAACATAATCATTATATTAATATATTAGCAGACGCTACTAGAGACAGTACTAGGGCAGGAGGAGAGAGGAGAGGGGAGATTCAGGTATAAAAGTTAATAGAGTAAGGCTTAGTGTTGTGGCCTTTTGTGTCGAGCAGAAAGGTGGACGGGGGTCGAGAAATATGACGCGTCTTAGCATTTTGTGTGTATTTTAATTAAGAAAAACTTTTGTCTAAGAAAATAAGTTATTTTTTAGATGAGAAAAAGGTGAGGGGTTTGAGCTATGGTATTTCACGGGGAGTAGGGGTGGAGAAGAGTTTTAAAAAAAAAATAATAACAGTGTAATTGTAAACAAAAAACACGGTGAACAAAAGTAAGTTATGGGCAACTTTTATTATAGTCTTATAGACCTAGGCCTAATTAAATTAGTAGGCCTAGTAAGCAGGTCTACTTATAAAATTTAATACATAAGCCTAAATAATAGGCCTCAATTAAAGAAAAAAAATATTTCACCTGGTTGGCATACTGATACTGTTTTAAAAAAACAAACACTTTAAATTAATATAATTTTTTTCAGAATATTGTTTAAGAAATGGCTGATGCAGCAGCACCAAACAGCCTTAATACTGAAGAAGTAGTAAAAAATTATTATGGAAAGAAATTAAATGCATCCTCTGATTTAAAGACAGGCGCATGTACATCCCAACCTTGCAAGTATCCTAAATTTATCAGAGATGCAATGAGTCTTGTCCATGAAGAAGTTACTTCAAAGTAAGTAACTTAAAACTTAATGTTTGCTTTTAGTAATGTGGTCAAAATGAAAGCAGATGCACTGGCTACAATTACTCTTAGCTGGACAACCCGGGGCAAGAGAAAATGAAGGCAGCCAAAAGAAGAGAAGATTATTGGCAATATTGGAGAATGAGTCAAAAGAGGGTGGCTTATATTGTACCAACAGGCATAGGTTAAATATAGAGAGAGAATATATTGGCACTAATTTTTTGGTACCTTGTGCATTAATGGGCATTGAATTCAGAGATGATGAATAACAAATATAATATCTTTACAAATAGAAATGATTTTTTCTCGTTCAATTAAAGCCTCAGTGTTTTGTATATTGATCTTTAAAAGTTGAATATTTAATATAGGTATTATGGATGTGGGCCTGTATTCCCTCCTGCTTTAAAAGGAGCATCTGTTCTTGATTTGGGCAGTGGTAGTGGCCAGGATTGCTATATCCTCAGTAAATTAGTCGGTCCTGATGGTTCTGTTACTGGGCTAGATATGACTGATGAACAGGTAAATCTGCAATTTTATTTTACCATTAATTATTTACACTTAAAATAATTACCTGAAGAGTAGTGGTAGAGTTTTTTCTTTTTTAAATTTCAGCTTGCTGTTGCTAACAAATACATTGATTACCACACTCAACTGTTCGGTTATTCCCAACCTAACATTAGCTTTGTTAAAGGCTATATGGAGAAAATGGAAGAAGCTGGTATAGAGAATAATAAGTTTGACATCATTGTGTAAGTATTCACATGTTAAACAATCTTTGGTATCTATACTTTTATGATAAATTGTATTAAGTTTAGCAGTCTCCTTTTGAAATATAATACCAACAGTGGTTTAAAACATAATATTTTTATAATTTAAAACTAGATCAAACTGTGTTATCAATCTTTCGCAAGACAAGAGAGCTGTACTGAAAGAAGCTTACAGGACACTGAAGGTATTAACTTGTATTGTAAATCAATTTCTGTTTTCTTTTCAACAATTTGTAGAAATTGTGTGATACATATTTTTTAAATAAAGATTTTTATTAATGTTGAATAAATAATACATTTTTACTATTTATTTCATAGACTGGTGGAGAACTGTATTTTAGTGATGTTTATGCTGATCGTGATTTGCCACCTGAAATAAGAAACCACGAGGAATTGTGGTGTGAGTTTTTTTTTTACATTTATTGTGGATATAGATTATAACATTAAAATTCTATACTTTGTTACTTGCCTGTCAATAACCTTTCTAAAAGGTGAGTGTGTTGTTGGTGCATTGTACTGGAAAGATTTGTACAAACTGGCAAAAGAGATTGGCTTTTCAACTCCTCGGCTTGTAACTGCTGGACTGTTTTCAATAGATGACAAAGACTATAAAGATTTCTTGGGTTAGTGAAAATTTAATTGTTGACAAAATTGAAGTAGTGGTATTTTTAGATTATGATAATTTTATTTCTAACTTTATACTTATCTATGTGATATACTTATTTGATTTTTTAAGGTAGAAGAAAAAATTACAAATATGAAATGCACTCAATAATAAACTAGTCTTAACCTAGTGTGTATGCATTTATTCAGGAGAGGCCAAGTTTGTTTCTGCAACATACAGTCTCTTCAAGCTTCCATCTGAGCCTGTTCCAGAATCAACTGTAGTTTATAATGGAGAAATTGAAGGCTACGAGGAACAATTTGCATTTGATCACGGCATCACATTTAAGGTAGAATACAGAATCTGTGGTGTATTTAATATTTGATTTCAAACACATTTTCAAAGTTTCACTGGATTTTTCTTTCCATTTACACTTGTCTTCTTGTATTATTTGTCCAGAAAGGGGAAGAATGCCATGTAAAGCCTGAACTGGCTAACATACTCACTAGTTCACGATACAGGACATATTTTAGCATAAGCCCTGGTGAAAAGGGACCATGTAAATGTGCAAAACTGGTAATTATTTTTTTTATGCTTTCTTTCAACACTTACTTGTTTCATCTCAATGCCAGCCATTTGCAAATTTCAGATAATTGTTTCAGATTGTAGAGATACATTTAACTATCATTTCTCCTATTACTTCTTATTAAATAAAAAACAGCACCAAAAGTTATTACAATTATAACCCTGAAAGAAGCAACTATTTAATTAAAAAAAAAAGATGACACATAGTTCAATTGAAATGTTGAGACAGAATCACAAAAATACCACAAAAAAAAGAATCTTGTTTATGAATTTTAAATTTTGATGTATATAGTAAATATTAACCAAGTAAAAAAAAATCAAAATATTTTAAACTTCTAACGCAGAAATTCGACACATTTATTTTATTTCACAGGATAAAGATCCATTTGATTACTGTACTGAAAGAGGCAACAAAAAGGGTTGTTGCTAATAACAGTAACTAACACAGGCCTTTAATATGTGGTGAATGTGATTTGATACTTGGAATCATCTCTAATTTGTGAACATTTTTATTTATCTTTAATTCCAAATAATTGCCTTTGGTAATTTATAATTTGATGTATTTTAAGGTAATAAAAAAAAAGTACTAAATAAATTATTCATATATTCTTAAAAATGCAAGCCATACTTAATGATTAAATGAATTTGTTAATAATCATAACCCTTCATTTGTAACATTTTCTCTTCATAAATTTGGTTCCAGTCTAAAGAAAAGATTGTTAAAAGAATTTAGGTCTATTGAAACTTTTAAAATTCTGAAACATCATTTTTTTTTCTGTTTTCAATTGTATTTGCTTCAAACATAAAATCTTCAGCTCCTTTCTTCATTTTTATTTTTTAGCACAATGTTTAGCTCTGATGTCATATTTTGTTCTGGCATATGGATTGGATAGTTTTTAAGATTATTATTTTTTAGTAACTCCTGTTTGCTTTTGTCATGGATTTTATTTCAAGATGTTGACACTTCATTGTTTTACATAATATGATGTGACTAAACCACAGTTTAGCATGTATGGGTTTAATAATCTGTAAGTCCAATAAGAAAATGATTGCCTTGTTCATATTAACAATGAATTTGTTATTAATGTTTTACTAATTAATACATTGTTATTAATAATGTTATTAATTCACAATCCTGATTTATCATAAAAACTTAACTGTTACCATTCCAGTTAGTTCTAAGAAATAATCAATATCATAAAATGTAAGCAGTGTTTCTTTTAGCCGCAAAATAGAAAAAGCTTATCTTCCCTGAGAAAGATGTCTGGATGATATACTGAACTTAGGCAACTAAATGGGAAAATAAGTTTTCTAAATCAAGACATGGTACTGGTGATTTTACTGCATGCCTCAATCAGCCTACCATTTTGTGTAATTTGATAATTAGTGTTGCAGAGTTAATTCAATTTTAGAATAGCAATGCAGTACAATATTTTTTAAAAAATTGTGTTATTACAAAGTCATAAATGTGGAATAAGATCCTTGTATCAACAACCAAATGTTGTAATCCATTGCTTACGTTAGAACAATCTTCTTTAAAAGTTTCCATTGCAATTGAAGACCTTCAGAGATAATTAAAAATAGTTACTAAGAAAACACAGACCATGTAATAAAGTTTAATAAAACTTCTTTATTTGTTGTTGGAAAATATGTTCTTACATAATGAGATAATGTTGAAATAAAACTTAAAATGCTTACTTTTATTGTTTTAACAATTTCTTTTACCATTTGGCAACAATTTCCACTGATTCTTTTTAATGGACAGTTTTTTTTTATTTAAAAAAATGCATAAGTACTTGTAGTAATTAAAATTACTGTACCTAAAACTTACATGAAAAAAAATGCTAGCCTCATTAAATATAAAATAAATTTAAATGAAAAACATTGCATTTCCATTTCCTAAAATACAAAAGAACATCTAGTACTAGCCAAAATCAAGAGAAAAGTTATCTGTAAATGCTGTTTGTCGTTTAATTAATTAATTACAATTAAAATAAAATTTAATTTACTTTCTGTTTTAGCAAAGTTATCTTCATATGATTATAGAAATAAAAAAAATATTTGTAAATTTAAAATTTACATAACAGTTTAGTAAAAGTTTATTATGGAAATATAAAGAAAACTGCGGTATATAAAAAGATCAAAACAATACAGTTATAAAAATGTATTGACAGAGTAAATAAAAATATCAAGATTTTTACAAAATTATTATTGCAAACATTCTCAAATCCAATGTGACAAAAATTCATTATTGCTGATATAAGCTGAACACAAGCGTAACATTTTTACACCTATTTATGAAAATAGTCAAACAATAAAGCAATATTTTCTAAATATCACTCAGGTACATTTACAATAAATAACCTGACTAGTAGTTTTCTATATGTATTAAGCACTAATATAACAAATCAATAAAAAATTGAAAGTTTTCAGTTCAAGAAATGTATAAAAAAGGCACATAATTGCAGAAAATCAATCCATTAAAATAATTTTCACAACTGGAATGTATTATACTGCTTAATATTAGTATATAAGGTATTTTGAAAAAAATAAAAACAAAACAAAAACAAAACCAATAAATAATTTTGTAGTTATTTTCTATAATTATAATTCAGTTCTTATCAACCAGGCACTTTTCCTTTTCCTGTAAGAGTAAGAGGTTATCTGTAAAAGTATTTTTGTTTAAATATTAGCTTCCTATAATAGTGGCTGTAGGTCCACTTTTGTGTCTCTTCTCTAGTCATATTCATTAAAACATTTCACTCTCCATAACATGTGTACCACTTAATTTAAATTAAATTACAAGCTTTAATTAAGCAGAAGTGTAATCTAATAATGTTTCTGTTGTCTGAAGACAGAAGTGAAAGCACAACAAAGATTAATAAATCTGACGTATGTTACCATCACTATTTTACTAAATAAAGTAACAGCACATTTTAATAAATGTGTTCTTGTCTCTCCATACCAACTGGATGTCATTAACAAATAATCTTAACAAGAAGTTTATCCCAGACTGATCAAAACGAAGCCATATTAAAAATACTAAATGACCTCGACAATCACAACAATGACCACTATAATTATAACCACAGTAATAACAATTCCTAAAATACATATTTTTCGCCTACGAGCTTGAGCTTGTTTACTCCTTGCTTGTGTTAACTGATCATTGCCATCTCTGACCAAATCCGCAGCTTGGTTTGTGGCATCTTCTATTCTAACTAATGTCTCTCCTTGAGTAGAGACTAGCAAGTTCATTTCTTTAAACAAAAGATTTACTTCTGCAAGACTTGACTCCAGGGCAAGGATATCCTTTTTTCTGTCCTGAAGATCTCTCAGAGTTTGTTCCGCCTCTTGAACATTAGAGATATAATTTTCAGTAAAAACACAGTAAGAATCCTGTTCAAGAAGGTTGTTTAATTGGGATTCATCCATTGAAATTCCTTTAGCTCCTATCTGTTTGCGCAAACGAGTTTTCATTTTATCAGTGTATTCTGCTTGTATTTTAAAAAATTCATTTGTGGACTCGTTAAGTTCAGTAACAAGCGTGTTTATTTTTAAAGATTTAATGCGCTTAAAAGCACTTTCTACAAGCGTATCTTGTTTGTAGTTATCTTCTAACTGTTTAATAGAGGCACACATTTTTGTAGCATTTTGTCTAATTTGTTCCTCAAGTGCTTTAGACTGAGTTTCATCAGGGAAAGGGGTGCTGAATAAATTTTTATGAAGTTTCTTCAATTCCGAAACATCATTTTTCATCTTTTTTATCTCTGTTTCAATTTTATTTGCTTCCATCATAAAATCTTCTTCAGCTCCCTTTTCTTCTTTTTTGTTTTTCTTTTTAGCACCATGTTTACTTTTCTCTTTTTCTAGCAACTCATGAGTTTGTTGCAGCTCTGATGTCCTGTCTCGTACTGGCATTTTATATTGGAGGGTTCTCAATTTTTTATTTGGTCAAAGCTGGTGTTGTCACTGCTAGACAAAGGCAAAAAAGTTTATGTTAGCTTGATCATGAAATTATGGTTTTGAAATAAAAATGCAGGTTTTTACAAGTACTGATAAGGAGAATATTTAAATACGGATAATAATACAATATATAAAATAAGCAAATGATTATGATGGGATCCTAAAACAGGTGAAAGGGATTCAGATTTTAATGACAAGTGGTTCAGAATGTGGGATGTCACACTTTTACATCTAAAAACATATTGTCACTAAAATGAAGCAGTTATTTTCATTTATGAAGACTTGAAAATAGAATTGTAATAAATATTAAAATTTAGATCTATATATTAGAAGACCAGTTATTATTTTTCCTTACATTTTTAATAAAGAAGTAAAGTAGGCTGGGATGGGGGGTTGGTAATGAAAGATGTTCAAACAAACTGGTCTTTGAGCTGCATGTAAACTATTTTCTTCTTCGTTCTTAATTTTCAGTGTTGGAAGGGATCAGGCCTTATCACAGAATTATGGTTTTGAAATAAAAATGTAGGTTTTTACAAGTACTGATAAGGAGAATATTTAAATACGGATAATAATACAATATATAAAATAAGCAAATGATTATGATGGGATCCTAAGACAGGAGAAGGGGGATTCAGATTTTAATGACAAGTGGTTCAGAATGTGAGATGTCACACTTTTACATCTAAAAACATATTGTCACTAAAATGAAGCAGTTATTTTCATTTATGAAGACTTGAAAATAGAATTGTAATAACTTAAATATTAAAATTTAGATCTAGATCTATATATTAGAAGACCAGTTATTAGTTAATATTTTAGTAAGAAAAAATTGTTTAAAAAGATAGGCCTACAAAATAATTTTTATTTGGCGAAGAATAAACTCGGCCCAGGGTGTTTGAATTGTGACATTATTTTTATTGTCATGGGGGGGGGGGGGGGGGAAATCTAGTCTAGATTTATTCATGGAGAATTGAGATTCTATCCTCAGTGTGACATTTCCGCCCGCCGGGTTTTTAACTTAGAATTTACCTTAGAGTTCTAGACTCTAGCTAGCAGTCCTCTCTCTAGCTTTACTAGATCTCTAGTTAAATCTAGTACTAGTAGCTAAGCTAAGATCTAGATCTAATCTAGATTAGAATCTAGATTTTAGCTACTGAAATATATTATTAGATCTAAAAAATTTACACATGTGTCAGAATCAGAAGTTATTATTTTATATAATATAATAATTTAATATATATAATAGGCATATATAATATATAATATATATATTATATATTACTAACTATAATTAATTATTAATTAAGCTATTATTATTTATTAAGTTATAAGTTAGTCTATTTATTAGATCTAGATCTCTAGATTAGATCTTGATCTAGATCTAGTATTATTTAACAACCAGATTTTACCCTGTTATGTTTTGTAAACGATTAATTCAGAATACTCGTCCCAAAAAAAAAAAAAAATATAATAAATTTCTAAGCGAATAGTAGCCGATAACAACATAACACTACTACACAGTATGACTCAAACCTCTTAAAAATGGCTTAAAACTAAAATTAGATTACGGGAATTCAGCAAATGACGTCACGTGTTTTTCTTTATGTTTTTAATTTTTAACCTTTAATCATTTGGTTACAAAAATTCAGACCCTTCCATCAAGGCAGGGTCCGATCAGAGTTTCTTCCAGGCATCTCTTCGGGGGGGGGGGGGGGGGGGGGGGCAAAGCCCCCCCCCCCCCCGAAACATTTTTACCGCCCCCCCCCCGAACGAAATGAAATTTATATAATTTATATAGAAAATATATACTTTTAACAGTGTCCGCCCCCCCCCCCCCCCGAAGAAAGTCTACCGCCCCCCCCCCCGAAAATTTCAAGTGCCCCCCCGGAGAAAAAAGTCTGGAAGAAACACTGGGTCCGATACGTTCATGGGTCATGGTGACACTATTTTGAAGATGACATCAGTAAAAAAAATAGTAAAATGTCACTGACAATACAATGTTTGAAGGAGATTAGTTACACTAAACCAAAATGAAGGGGTGAGAGGTGAGGTGGAATAACACCATCAGTTACCGCACCCGGTGACACTTAGATCTATCTAGATCTAGATTCTAGTAATGCCACTGCTCTCCTGATTGGCTGATACTAGTACTACTATTAGTAGATCTAGTAGTAGAGTCTAGAGTAGTAGACCTATTATTAATTTATAGCCCTAATATAAATTTTAATTGGACATCGATTCGTGTACTTTATTTTAATTCATCGGGCAAATATTTTGAAATGATTTATTTTTGTAATATTGTGTTGTAAAAGAAGTTGTAATAAAAAATCAATACTATAAACTATAAAGCGATGAGTGACCAGGGTGGGTGTTAAGAAAGTGTTACCATAACATTCCAGCATTTTGTAAAATAATTTAAAGCTGAAATGTAGCAGTCATGTTACATTTTGAACATAATTTTTGTGTAAATTTTAATGAATATTGATCAAAAGATCTAATATTCATATAGAAATAGTGATTGGCGATCAGAGTTTCTTCAAGGCATCTCTTCAAAGAAAGTCTACCGCCTGTCCGAACGAAATGGAATTTATATAGAAGACATACTTTTACCAGTGTCCCCCCCCCCCACCCCACCCGCAAAAATGTTGTCAATGTTGTTGTTCCCCCCCCCCCCCCCAGGAGAAAAAGTCTGGCGATCCATTCGAGTGAAACAACACTGCTAGCAAATAATGTTCTTTATGGAGGAAAGCAACTCAAGTATTCTATTTAGACAAAATCAACTAAGCTTGATTATAGTATAGCCCATTACTGAAGAAAAACTGCTTAGGGAGGTGACTAATTTTGAGACGCTGTGATAATTATGATAAAGAAGAAAGGGGTTATTTTAATAATGGTGCAAAATAGGAAATTAATTAAAACTCCTACCCATTATATTAATACGATAAAATGAATACTGTACCATGCAATTTGTAGCCTAAATACGGGGGAGGGTTAGGTTTTCTGTGTTGGACTTTAGGGGGTAGTCTGCAAGTACACAAAAACAATTTTTTCCTTACATTTTTAATAAAGAAGTAAAGTAGGCTGGGATGGGGGGGGGGGGGGGGGTTGGTAATGAAAGATGTTCAAACAAACTGGTCTTTGAGCTGCATGTAAACTATTTTCTTCTTCGTTCTTAATTTTCAGTGTTGGAAGGGATCGGGCCTTATCTGCCAGAGGGTTTAAACTCGAGACTTTTTTTATTCGAATTTATCAACCATGATTTTTTTGGCCAACACAATTAAGGATACGTCTCAACTGGTTATGCGCCATTGACTCCGATTTCAGCCTGCTTTTCTTTTTGGATTTGCTTCCATAGCCTTTGTCCAACCAAGAACAAATTACAAGGCAGCAGTTGTTTGATTTTGGAGTTGTCTCTCCTAGAAGAGTGGTTGTCCCCAGCTAACGAGCCTCATCTGCCCGAACTCGAGACTTTTCAGTTTATCAACCATGAGCTTTACCGACTCGACAACGCCGACCCCTATGTAAAGTATTAAACCAGGAAACTAGTTGCACCAAATTAACATCCAATTTTTAATTAGACCATTTAAAAAAATTTATTTACCCTGTTTACGGCTTTCTATAAAAATGTTTTTTCATGACTATTTTCACAAAAGGCAAATTTTTAGACCTCCTGATTCAATGTAAGTGTAACAATGTAACTAGGTGTAAATTTGTAAGATAACAGAGGCAGCTGTAAAATTAGGCAGTCCTGGACACATTACAACCAACAGGTGTGACACTAGCACCACACATCAGAATAAAAAGAGGCCAGACACAGATTTTTCTCATTGTTTTAAACAATTTTATATGGCACCATATTCAATTACACATAAACACTAGTGTACTACATTCATTTCCACCTAGTCACAAATTCTTTCCATGTACAATATTTGGGTAAATTATATATAATGTATTTTCTATGCAGAGTATTGAGATTTCAATTAAGAATAATTCTTTTACTTAACAAATTGTGGCATTACAAAGTTTGAAAATATCACACTAGTTTTCAACATTTCAATAATGTTTTAAAAATATGGCATACAAACCAGTGGCATCAAGTCTATTTACCAGGTATCCCGATAGAAAAAAAGGGTACATCTTACATACTGGCAGTTTATAAAGAAATCACCTAAAAAGTTACACATTATGAGTCACAAATATTCACAGGTAGTCTAATCATTTTCACTACACAGCTACTTGTGATCATATCAATAAGGTTGTGGTTTCTTTAAGAAACAAAGCCTTGAAAAGCTGCATAATAACATTTAACAATAGCATAGATTTTTAATCAAGGCCTTGAAGTATACTACCAGTTTTCAATTAATTAGTAGATCTATATGAATAAAAAAATGTTTAAAAATGCATACAGCTACTCATGGTTGAATTTGAAGCAATATGCATAAAAAATACATTACTACATAATCTAAGGATTAAAATATCAGTGATATTTTATATTTTAACCAACAATTTTTTGCGAACAGTAAATTTAAATTATTTTGAGCCTCCAGAAACTTAGATAAACTTACAATAAAAATATTGAACAAGTGAACATTGGAGAAAGTATTTCAAATAACTTTGGACAGCTGACAGAAGTTTCTTTTAAAAGCACAATTTGTGATAAATGTCTGTAAATTGTTCACTTAAAAATATTAAAATTGTAACTGAGCAAAAAAAAAAAGCTTCACTGGGTAATTCACAGGGATCAAAGTTTGTACTTGGCTTTGTAAAAACTTCATTTATAGCTAGCCCAAACATTGTATACAGGGCGCTGGCATTTACAAGTTCCAAGAATTATCACAAGAAGATAAAAAGAACATAATGAACACAACAATACATGACATTTTACAGACACAAAAAAAGGCAAATTATGCATATATTGCTTTGTAAATTTTGTTTTTGTACTGGAAAAGTTAGAAAAAAATATTTGAACCTTAAAATCACCAATTGATAAAAAACATAATCTTGGATGAAGTTCAGTTAGTTATTCTATAACATTAATATTTACAGAATTTCAAAACCTTACACATAACAAGTTTGATCAACTCTTTTGATCAACTCTAATATCGTATTTGTGAAAACCACAAACCTAGAAGGTTAATATTTTCCTTAATTCACTTGTTACTGCCTTTTCCTGGATGGTAAAAATTTAACAAAACAGAGTAAGTGGAATAAAAGTAGTTTAAACTTGAGACTTCAAGATAAACTTCGTGTAGGGTGAAACCATGTAGGGTGAAGACAGTTGACCAGTAATGATGAAGGTTGCAATTATTTATGTACAGGAACGCTAAAAGCTGATGTTTCAAAAACGTATCTCTATACAGAAATTTCTACTGTATGGCTAAGTGTGAATTACATACTTCTATCCCGATATTAATATTAGATCTATCTTAACATATCACTGAATTTGCTCTGGAACTTGATATTTGCCTTGAAAAACCTTCTACATGCTCTGCATTGGTTTAAGATCGGGAGAAACCTGAAAAAAGTGGATTAAACAATTCTTTTTTAATAACTGATCAAGAATATTGATTTCACAAACAGGTTTCAAAGATACAGAGTTATATGTTTTTCCATATTTTGTACCCAGCTAATGTGCAGTTTTCATAACTTACATTCAGTTCGCAGCCGGTTGCCTTTTTAACGTCGTCAACACTAAATCCATCAGCAATTTCAATCATTGTCAACCCTTTTTCTTTAGTGATTTCAAAGACACCCTAGTAAAATAATTATTAACTATTTAAAATTTAAATGTTTCATGTCACAAATTAGCAAAATTATGAATTAAGCAAGTACACATTCTTTTGAAAAAAATATTAGTATTCATTTATCAAGACTAAGTTCTAAAGCATAAATACAGATTATAAATTTAGGATAAAAAGTATTAAAAGACTATAAACAGATTAAAGTCTAGCCCTGAAATGCAATAGAGAAATAAATTTTAAAAGTAATAAAAACTAATAGTGCCATAGAAATCTGCATTTAAAAAAATTCGGAGTAATAAAAATGTATACTGGTAGTTATTGCAGCTCTTACCATGTCTGTAATGATCATGTCGACACAACCTTTTCCAGTGAGTGGGAGATTGCATTCCTTGAGGATTTTATGTTTGCCACCCTAAAGAAAAAATTAAAATGAAACACTATATAATCCAACATTAATTGAAACTTCAAGAAAAAAAAACATGTTTGTGTATGACACCACCAACCTTTGCTGTGTGCTCCATTGTGATGATCACTTTTGTTGCTTCTCCAGAGACCAAGTCCATAGCACCACCCATGCCCTTCACCATCTTGCCCTGTAAACACAAGTTATCTTGTAGAGTTTCACTGAACAGGATATTAGTATTAGTGACACATTTCCATGTATTATTTCATTACAGGCCTCAGAATATGACTTCTTATCTGCAGGCCCACACAGGTTTATAACAGAGAAACTGTGGCAGCCACAGACCTGTCAAAGATCAAATCCACCAGAAAATAAATGGCACTAGTTCTGACATATCCTGATGACCAGCTAGACAGGTCCTTACCTGGTGTCCCAGGCAAAAAAAAACTAGGATTCATGACTTGGACATAGGAAAGATGGTTCTTAATGAGGAAGAATTAAAGAAACTAGCCATGAACCAAGTTACATGGAAGGATGAAGCCAGTGGAATATGTTGTAGTGAGACAACAGGCTAAATACTTACATTTTACTTTAACAATTGGTGTATCACAGGAGTACCATGGGATATGTAATGATAAAGTAGACTATTTTATCCAGAAAATTACAAGTTATGTGTTGTACAGTTATACAATACTGTAAGACTTGGTATTTAACACTGTCTCTCTGTGACACAAAACAAACAGTTTAATACAATATAATAAAAATAACATTCAACAACATTCTTACCGGAATCATCCAGTTGGCCAAATCCCCATACTGTGATACTTGCATAGCTCCAAGAATGGTCAGTTGGACATGTCCACTAACAAAGTGTAAAAACAAACATCATCAGGATGCAAGTTAAGTATAATAAACATTTAATCTAAAATAACATAAGATTAATATATATTTCAATAAACAATTAAAAGACAAATTCTAGTAAGTTGAAAAATAAATTCTCATGAAATTTAATTTTTTGCTTCCAATAAGTATAGTAATAGTTTAAAAATTGAAAAAAAAAAGATAATTTCTATGTTATCAAAAGCTAGAAATTAAAATGTGTGGAAAAGACAATTAATTAAAATCTATTCCTATTGCCTCACCCTCTAATCATGGCAAAAGATTCATCTGATGAGAAAAATGAGCTGCCCTTGATGCTTGTAACTGTTTCCTTTCCTGCATTAATCAAGTCTGGGTCTTGTTCTCCAGGTTTGGGGAAAGGACCCTGAGATGTAGAATCAGTTACAATATAACAATGTTGTACATTGCTGTTGTTAATAATGACATGGATGTTTTATTTATTGGTTGTTTATGAGTTTTCAATTACAATATGGTAGAAATATGTAAACATGAAGAAATTTATTTTCTAGGTGTTACATTTTTCATATTTAAATTTCAGTAGTTTCTACTTAAAAAAAAACCCCAACAACAACCTAAAAATTAATTAATAATGACAATTAAGATGTAGAAATTGACAGAACATACCAATCCAAGGATACCATTTTCACTGTGGAGATGTACTGAGACACCAGGTTTAATATAATTACTGGCAAGCATTGGCATTCCAATACCAAGGTTTACTAATTTTAGTCAAGAAAACTAATTTTGGCAACCTCAACAAAAGAAAATCGCTGAGCTAGCACCTATGTACTCATCCCTAAATTTAAAGATTTAATATTAGTATTTTTTTTAATTTAAGAAATACATTTTTTTTTAAAAAGTCTCTAGCTTATGAGTGGCTTTAAGTAAAATAATTTTCAGTGTTAATGGTGTTTATGTAACAAAACTTTTTCTAACAAATAACACTAAAAAATACATTTCTTTTACGCTATAATAGTAATACTGTTGGTTTTTCTAGAAATTTTCTCAATAAATATTAGCGCCTAGCAATTCAAATATAAGTATTATTGTCAGAGGTAATAAAATATTGTTAGATTTTTTTCAAGCTATAAATAATCTCCAAAAATAAAACAAAAACAATTTAACCAACAAATAAAATTATTTCAAAAAGGATACCATACATGCCATCTTTGAATTCTAAGGCTGCTCGCCTCACGATTCTCTCTCTCATCTGCTGAGCTGGGCTGATGTCTCCTGCTTTGGTTTCTGGTTTTGTCAAAGTTAACCTCTACAAGAGATGAGAGAAATCATTCCAATAATCAATAAGACACCAATTTTGTTATTTAGGTTAATAGCCATAATGTGAACTATGGTTATACAACATACTTTACAGATGAATTTTTCTAACTCCAGTGCTTTATTTAAAAATGTGATGCACAGCCTCACAGCAATGCATATGAAGAGATTAATTAGTAATTATATACTCTGCGGTTCAACCCCACTACATTAAAACAGGCAGTTTACCTCGATCCTCTTCTCATATTTGGGTCCCTTGATCACCCTCTGGACATAAATATGTGGTACGTGGACATCCTCTTCTGGGATTTCCCCAGCCTCTACTATCTCCTCTACCTCAGCAATGGTTATACGTCCAGCTTTACAGATTGGGGGGTTGAAGTTGCGAGCAGTTTTTCTAAAAATTAAAATAAAAGTGTTGCTGAATCCTACTGGACTTGCATTATAAATACATTTAAGTAATAAAAGCCTAATTTTTAAAAATAAAATCTGAAAATTTGCAGTAATTAATGTAATTAAATAATACAGTAAATGAGTGTCATTACCTAAAAGTAAGATTTCCTGCCTTGTCAGCTTTCCATGCTTTGACCAGTGAGAAGTCCCCGGTGATGGCTTCCTCCATGATGTAGTTGACGCCATTAAACTGGCGTTGCTGTGAAGGAGATGAAGGATATGTTTTATTGTAACAGCTGCAGGCATACCATTACTGAGTTACATCAACAGGTGAAGAACGATGAAATATCAGTAGCTTTTAAGTTGTGTGAGATTTTGGAATATTGCATGAATTACATTCTAATAAATTTAAATATTTGAGCTTATATTAATCATACATTATCTGGATATTCTGAAAAAAAAAAATACCTACAATAGTAATATGGACAAGAACACATACTAACAGCATATTATTTGCTTTGAAAATAAAAGCTCTTGATAAGGTAGATAACCTAAATGAATTAATACCCATTGGTGGGTTTTGAAGCATTTACTTCCCCTTATGTGTTTAAACCGTGTAAGACAAATTATCTTCCTTTGTAACTATCAGGATTGATTCTGGCAGCCTTTGAACAATCCTGCTGTTTAATTGTGAATTTTTTAATACCTGATAATTATCATATAAAATTAAGGTGGGCGCGTCACTTGTAGTTTGGGAATTACTAAGAGCCCTCTTAGCTAATTAAAATGTGTTGCTGTGTTTGGTCTCTTGTTACTGTTACAAGTCATGCAACTTTGTTTTCTCTGACAAATATATTTTGGTGGTTTCAATATCAGTCCTTGTCACTGGAAGCTACTAATACTAATCTAAATTTAAAAAATGCGTGTTTGTGCAGTTTATGTTTATTTGAATTTCCTACATTTTAAATTTAAAATTGAGTTATGCATTCAGCAGAAGTAAAAAAAAGATACTACCCCAATCTTCAAGGTTTGGTATCTAAGATCCTAGCATTATCAATCAAAGCTCTAGTTAAGAACCTGCTCTAATTATTTTTAAAGTCTAAGATGAGCAAATTAACAAGATTACATAGTTGACTAATATTGTCTGAAGACGCACCTGCTTTTTTTAATGTCAGCTTCCTGTTTACCTGTCTCTCAGGTATACAATAGTTATCACACCAAAAAATTATTATCTAGGCTAGCAACATTCTTTAGCTCTCTAATTATCTTGTCATTGGCTATTTATGTACAATTAAGTAGTATATGATCTTGCTTCATTAATGTAGCCATTGAGAAATTTGTTTAATGTAGATTCTACAGTTCGAAGTACCGGTATAAGAAATAATACAGAATCTTCAGGATGGTTCAGTTGTTAAGCAGAAATATTTTGTAAAGCTGGTAATATTTACTCAATAAAGATTACTGATCACAAATATTAGTAATTAAAAATCCCATTTGCAATTAGTTGACGTCTGATCTTAAATGTAAAATGTACTACTTGTATAATGAATATTTGTATGGGTAAAACTTAAGAATAAGAAATAAAAACAGCAAACAAAGCATTTTTTGGGAATGTATTCTTATATTCACAATAAAAAAATAACGTTGCTATAAACACGATAAAATGGAATGCAAACAATGGAATGTTTAATGTAATAATAAATAATCCAACACTGTAAACAGTAAAAGCAACTTTTCTACAAAAATCAAACATACCATAACAAGAATTATTTTACAATTTTTTTTGCAATCATGACTTAAAAACATTTCATAACAAATTGTAGCGAAAAATCAGAGGCGTATTTACTTAAATGTTTTCAGCACCTCCTATATTAACTAAAAATTATGCTGAGTACGCAACATTAGCCACAATGGTAATACGAATATAAAACTGCTAAAAAGATTGTGAAGATTTTCTCTGGATGGTCTAACCTCAAATAAAAAAGTCAGTAATTATTAAAGATGTAGCTTATACTATGAATAAACATACATAATTCTTTTTTTAAAAAGTAGGAATACTTTCCTTCAGATCATTATATATGAGCAATACAGGGTAACGTACAATAAAAATGTAACTGAAAAAGTAACTTTTGTTCTAAGTCTGGACTTTTATCAAATACTTAATTTTTAAGGCAAAAGAAAACAGCCTGATGGTCATAGAATTAACTGTATACATTTATATGCTTCTTCACATTGTTTTTTTTATAGTATTGATTTAGTCATGAGTTATGATTGAGCATGGTGAGTAGCAAAGAGAAAAGTTCTGTATTTTAAGTGAATTGTATAGGCCTATAATTATTTATATAGGCCTAGAGGCTTATAGTTGTTTAGAAAAATATACAAAGGCAGAATATAAAAATGTATAAATATAGAAAAATTAAATATGCACAAGTGGAGAACATTTATATTTTCATTTTATTTGCACACAATTTATTTTAAAGAATGCTACCAAATAACTTTTCAACTTGATCACAAAATAAAGACACAAAAAATGTGTTTATTACTTAGCGGCTAAAGAGCTTGAGCAATATTTGACACATTTCAGATTTAAATTTCTATCATGTTTATCTTCACTATTTACAACAAAGGATCTCAACTTATAAAATTGTAAAAATACTTTAAAAACTTGATACAAGTTTGAAATATTTGATTCCGTTCTCAAAATGTTTACACTACTATTTAGTTGCAACATAGCCTACACAAAATCAAATTTGAAATTAGTGCATAAAACATTTATGTAATTTTTGCTAGCAAATAGTAGGTCAATTTTTTTCCCAACAAAACTATACAAGTTAATAATAAAACAAAACAAAATATGAATATGACTATCACATAATCTCAAAATTTCTATGAAAGTATTGGAGTGGAACCCTATAAAAAATTAATCTGCAAGTAATTTTCAAAAAGCTTAGGAGTAATCCATTAATTACATTTTACAGCTACACACTTATTAATTGTACAAATCACAAAACTTAAATGACCTTGCACACAAAATGTTTCAATTTATTTGTTTAAACAGTTTTATTTTTAGTGTGATTCTACATTAAATAAATAGGTCAATTTGTTTCCCCACCAAAACAATACAAGTTAATAATAAAACAAAACAAAATATGAATATGACTATCACATAATCTCAAAATTCAAAATTTCTATGAAAGTATTGGAGTGGAACCCTATAAAAAATTAATCTGCAAGTAATTTTCAAAAAGCTTAGGAGTAATCCATTAATTACATTTTACAGCTACACACTTATTAATTGTACAAATCACAAAACTTAAATGACCTTGCACACAAAATGTTTCAATTTATTTGTTTAAACAGTTTTATTAATAATAAAATAGGCTACAATTTGTTAATTTAGTATTAATAATTTACTGCATTGTAACTAAGTCTTCAGAGAACAATTGCTTTTCACAGGTAAAAAAGTTAATTTTTTGTGGACATTAATGATTGACCCTCACTGAAAAAGTAAAGGACTAAGAAAATAAATATATGTATTTTAAAAATTATTAACTTTCAACAAATATCTTGACATTATTTAAAATGAGTTTTTTTAAGTACATCAAATTATTTTCTAGCCTCTATTACAGATATAGTTATAATAATTGCTATGATAACAAGTATAACAACAATAATTCCAATAATGCATATTTTTTTCCGACGAGCCTTAGATTGATATTCTCTAGCTTTGCTTAGCTCTACATTTCCTGCTTCTACATGCACAACTGTATTCTCAATGGCACTTTCTATTGTTGTTAAAGTCTCACCTTGAGTAGAAACCAATAAATTCATTTCCTTAAACAAAAGATTAACATCTGCTATGCTTTTCTCAAGAGCTAGAATGTCTTTTTTTCTATCCTCAAGATCACGAAGAGTTTGCTCAGCATCATGCACATTTGTTATATAATTATCAGTGAAAACACTGTATGAGTCTTGGTCAAGAAGTGTACTTATCTTTGAATCATCAATAGAATCTCCTCTGGCACTTAACTGTCTGCGTAAACGAGTTTTCATTTTGTCCATATATTCTGCTTGAATCTTAAAGAATTCATTTGTTGCTATGTTCAGTTCTGCTGTGAGTGTGTTAAGTTGTTGCGTTCTCACCCGCTTAAATGCACTCTCTTCAGGTAAATCTTGTATGCTATAATCTTTCTCTATTTGTTTTAGAGAAACTCCGATTTTTGTGGCGTCGACTCTTATTTGTTCACCAAGTGATTCATATTTAACAACATTATTTTTATCAGGAAATGGTGTACTAAGCATGTCCTGTTGAAGTTTTAAAATGTCAGCAACATCATCTTTCATTTTCTTTAACTCCGCTTCTATTTTACTGGAATCTGAGAGAAAGGCTTGTATTGTTTTTCCACCATCCATTTTTTTTTGCGTAGAAGATTCTTTTCCGGGTTGGGTGTTGTCCTTTACAAGCAGCCGCTCACGGTTTTGTTGTAATTCCAAAAGTCTATCTCGAACTGGCATTTTAAAGAACCAAAAGTGAATTACGCTTGAAGTAAATATAAATAGATTATTGATTGGGCACAGCACGGCAGCTGGATGACTCAAAATTGTTATCGCAATGACAAACACGACGCCATCTTGCCAAGGGAGGTAAGTAAGGTAAGATGTTTAAAAAGAATCCAATGCCGAAAAAACGTATCAATTTACAAATTTGATAAATTAGTAGATCTAGATCTAGAATTGCTTGACATTTGTTTCATACGAAAAATTTAACTGCACATTAAATCTAAAAGTGAAATGGAGATTTTGTCTTACTATATTTTTGGGACGTAGATAAAATAAAAAAACCAACAAAATGCTCTACCAATAGTTTTCTTTGAACTTTGAACCTTATTTAAGCTATTTCCGAATTATTATTAAGACTATTATACTAGTGTCTAGTAAAACTTGAAAAAAGAAAAGAACGGGTGTTCCAGTAGTGAGTTATTACAATTATATTTAGGGGCAATATTATAAAAAGTGATAGTAACACTGTCACTGTTCTTAAAACGATCCCTTCATATTCATGCTTTAAAATAGGTATGTATATTTGATTAGCAGATGAAGTCCTAAACTTATTTCGTTAATGTCTACTTCTTGGGTAATATGGGGTCATCCATAAATGACGTCACGCTTTTTTGACGATTTTTACTCCCCCCTCCCCTCCGTCACACGTCGTCACAAAAAGCCAGACCCCCTCCTAAAATGACGTCACACCTTAGCCTATACCCCCCCCCCCCCCTAAAAATTGCAGTTGAATTTTTTTTTAAACATCGATAATTTTCCAAAATCTTGTCTGAACTCTGTCAAAATCGAGTATTTTAATCAATTCCTATTATAATTTATTAAAACAATTTTCTAAAACGCAAAATGACGGCTAAAATTCGTTTTCTAACATTGCTTTTTTATAATGCAAAAGCGCGACGTAGCACCATTTGAAGCCCCCCACCCCCTCATCACACACCGTCACAAAATTACGGACCCCCCCTCCCCCCCTACGAGTGTGACATCATTTATGGACGACCCCTATGCCTATTTTCATATTTGAGAAGCTAGGGAGGGGAGTTAAGAAATGTGACTCTGCACAGGATTTATATTACATTTGGGAGCACAGGATGACCATTGAGGTAACATGGTTGGCCTACATGGATATAAAGGGAGACCAAAAACAACTTTCTGCTAAGCCACTAGTGAAGGAGCTTTTAAAAATCAATACGCCTGCAGGTTTTTAACTAGCCAGGAAAACAACTCTCATAACAGGCCAAACAGATTGTAAAATATATAGCTAACAGCCAGCAGGGCAAGTATCTTTAAAATAACACAGTTACAGGGTACTTGCAGACAATGTTAAGTGGTAGGGGTTAATCAGACAATTCTTACAATATGCAGTAAATATAACAGCATGAATGTGGTTCATGGTGCTAGAGCCAGAATTACATATAAGCTAAACAAGCTATAGCTTTCGTATCCCCAAAAGTATTTTTGCAAACAGTGGTGGGCATTTTGTCACCAAATTTATTTATTTATAATTCAATTTTTTTAAAATGATGATGGAGGCTGAGTTTTCTTTTCACTACATTTATACACACTTTTTTTAGAGGGACAAACTTTTTTTTTTTAAAACTCCAAATATTTGGTACTGAGATATAATATATGGACTTATAAGGGGCGGGCCCCATATAAAAAATAGCTTAGGGCATAATCAAGTCTAGATCTGGTCCTGTATTGTGCCTGATAATTTAAACTGGGTACCAATAGATGAAGGAACTGGTAATGTCCTACTCATTTGTGCCAGCACCAGTTTATTGCTAGTGTTCAAACTCAAATTCTTTGGATTTTGAAAGTGTGATGTCTACTACACTACGTTATTTCCAGTTTGCTTATTTTTTTTGTAATTGTAATTTGTAATCAATAATACTACGTCACTGATATAAAAGCACATACCCTTTGATCAATCCACAAATAGGAAAATGTTTTGTACTATAATCTTTCATGACTAGTGTGTCAGGGATGCTTTGTGTAACCAGAACAGATAAGACTTAACTTAAATATTTGTTTGCTTTTCAGCAATTGTTAATCAGTAGTATAAAATAATATCAGAGAACATAATAGATGTGTTGGAAGTTATGTGATGTGCTGTAACAACAATAATGATGTGCTGTATCAACAATAAGTACTCCCACTCACACCCATATGTAGTGAAGACGTTGGAACAAAAATAAAACATAAAGATAATAAAGATAACTAAGGGATTAGTGTGGTTGGACTGGTATAAATCACGTTGCTAAATTGAAAAGTTTTGAGTCTGAACCCCCCAATGGGCAGTTGAGGGCTTGATAGCTTGGAAAAGCAACCCATTTAGAAGAGAAAACTCAAAAATCAAACAGCTGCTGCTTTGTAGTTTGTTCTTGGAAAAGGCTATGGAAGCAAATCAAGAGAGAAAAGCAGGCTGAAATCCAAGCCAGCGGGCCATATGGTGCTTAGGGCCTAACATGTTGACATGTTATACTTAATTGTGTTAGAGGACATCCAAATGAAGAGGAAAGAAGTGATAACTGTTTTAAAACTAATAACCTCCATTACAAAGCAGCCATAAATATATACAGCTTATATTCACTTTTTTATGTACCAATTATCAAGCAGAAAACCAATAAATTATTTTGTTGGTGTTGATGTAAAAATAGAAGTATGTTAACAAAAAATTGTATGGCAGTTATAAATTAAAACAGTTCAGGTTTAAGGAATAGCATGATATAAAACAGTAAAAAATTCGATTAATTAATTCATAATTATTTGTCATATTAAAAAACCAGCCTAAATTTTCTGTATCAAGATTGAAGAAGAATTCAAGCATGAACAAGTTGGTAGTTTTTTCAGATCTTACTAGCATAGTTTAGCTAAAAATACACACATACCAATTTACCTCATAAAACATCAATCTTATTAGCCCAAAGATTTTGAGAAAAGCAGAAATCAGAATTTGTTTTCTTATAATATCAACTGACAATTTATTTCTATATATATCATTAAAAAGACGCATACTGAATAATAAATTCCACTGTGTCATTGCAGATTAGTTTGCTGTTATTGTAGTAATACATTACATAGTATTTTTGATATTTTTGTTACTGTTAAATTGTCAAAAACATCTAGGAGAGAAATTATAAAATAGCAAATGTAGCAACAGTACTATTTTATTTGATTGTATGGTCAAATGCTATCTAGAAAAAGACAGTTCCTTAAAAAGAGAATTATCTGTTTTCTGCTTTGTTGATAAATTTTGAACTGTAACATAATGGTATGCGAAGGTTAAAAGTAAAGTACTGACCTCTCTTTGTTTACTGGCAATTTCAATTTTCCCATCTTTGGTGTATTTGATTGGTGCGCCACCATTGTGAATCAGCGTACCAAATCCAGTTGGAGTGAAGAAAGCTGGAATGCCTGCACCACCTGCCCTAATACGCTCTGCCAGAGTACCCTAAACAAATTAAAAATCAAAGTGTCACTACACCAAGCAATAACAAACAAATAAGTACAAGTGCAAACAAAAATGACAACTTCACTGTACCTGTGGAGTGAGTTCAACTTCTAGCTCCCCCGCTAAATACTGTCTTTCAAATTCCTGATTTTCACCAACGTAAGACGAAATCATACGTTTAATCTGGTTGAAGAAAGTAAAAATGTAGGTAATAGGTGTTCATGTTATATTAATAAACTGGTACAATGAGTATCTTAAACAGTCTTTAATAACATGGCTAAACAGAGTAATTTTTAATTTTGTAGGAGGTATCTCATACATTACAACCACCACAACCATTCTATAACTATTTAAAAAATTGTATTTTATAAGCAGGGGCCAGAATCAGTTTATTATTAAATATGTTTAGCTTACAGAAAACATCAGTACATGTTTGAGGTTTATTAAAAAAAAAAAATTTTTTTGTTTAGCAAAGTAGGGGAAGTAACTAGTAAAAGAAGTTAGTTTGAAACTGATTTAAACAACCAAATCAACTGTTTTTAATGCACTTGAAAATATGAAAAGACTAATGACATCTTTCACATGAAGTTAGTACCTGCTTTTGTTTTAAGAGAAGTCCAAGACCAAAATCATCCACACCAGCGTTATTGCTGACAACGGTTAAGTCTTTGGTCTTTTTCTGCAGCAAAGCATTGATCAAATTCTCAGGAATGCCACAAAGCCCAAAACCTGTATTGTATTTAAAATCAGATACATTAAAGTTTTAAAATTCTATGACCTTGATAATTCGATAACAAACAAACATATACGAATCAATGATAAAAAACAATGATAAAATGTTGGACTAATAATTGACTTTACCTCCGACCAAGAGTTTGGATCCATCACTAATGTCTTGCACAGCATCAGCAGCTGTGTCATAAAACTTTACATCGAGCTTGGACGATGAGGAGAAGCTTGCATCAGGAACCTGTCACAATAGAAATAACGTTTACAATTTTGAACAATAATTAGATAAGTTATAAGTGAACACATTGTTAATTAAGTCAAATAAAGAGAAAAACAGCAACAAAAGAATTATATTATCATACAACCACATCAACAAAATAATTCATTTTCATACAACCCCATCACTGCATATTTTTATTAATTTTTTTTGTTAAAGTTAAAATAAAAGGGAAACAACAACTTAAATGACTGATTTGTAAAAAAAAAAAAAAATTACCCATCAGCAGAGTTTGTGTTTGATGAAGCCTGTGTGCTTTATGTTTAACTAAATATTTCCCCCAAACTTTTAGATATTACTAAGAAACATATTTTTATAACTGAAATACAGGTTTGTGTTTAGTAATATTAAGTAACTCTCTTTTAAAAAGATGAACTGTGAAGTCTAAATCTAAGAAGATTAAGTTTACATTCAATTATTTCCCTTTCCCAGACAAAAGAACAAAGTGAAAGTGCACTTGACTTGAAAACTATTTCTTTAAAATGAATTCTGACAAGCAAGTTATTTGTTTAGCTACCACAATCTATTTTAATATGGCAACTTTACAACAATATTTTGTTCTAATAGTAAAAAGTAGTTATTCTAAACTAAATTGTTTTTTTTTTTTGTGTTTTATTTTATGATTTTTTTTAAAACAAATACTTTTTATTTGTTAAAGTCAATCAATGTTTTGATGTCTACATTGGATACAAGTTTCTGTGCTTCATGTCACTAAGTAGGCCCTTCTCTTTGTAGTCACCCATGATGATACTTGTAGCAATTTTATTAATATGTACATAAATGAGCAAATCACTAGGGTGGACTTTGATATATAGATAATAATTTATAGAGATCAAACATTAATTTTTTTAAAAGAAGTGGGTGGAGGTTTGAATATCAGTATGTTGGCCTACATTTTTTGTCAAATAAAAAGTATGGCTAGCTAAATCAGATTGTATCTCTGCACTGTGGACTTTGAACAGGTTTGTATTTGTTATGTGTGATCTACCCAAACTTTAACCTATAGGGCACATGTGATAAGCTGTTTAAGGTGTAAAGGTTAAAGTCTGAATATTCCAGTTTTGATGAGTTCATGAAACCCATTTTTTGAATTTTAAAAATGCAATAATTGTAAATTGCAATTGCCCTGTTATTTATATTTTAAAGATACAAAGCTAGACTAGTATTTTAATTACTAGGTTTAATTGTTTAACCATAAATATATTAGACAGGCCCTGTAACTGTAAGTATGCATCCCCATGTGTCAGACTTTTAAAAATAATTTAACCCCCCCCCCCCCCCCCACCAGCACAACAATTAAAAGTTTTGTCATCTTTGTAGTGTGCAGCCTTATATAATATATTAAATTATATTTATTGCATGACCTTGGCTTGTGGTAAGTGACTAAACTTGTAGGCCTACTAGATCTTGATGATCAATAGTATTCAATTTTATTTATCTAGCTAGATTGCTAGATCTACAACTAACTAGTCGGTAGAGTGTAGAATGCAGACTATAATAACTAGATCTAGATATCTAGATTCTAGTATTATTAACAAATAAATAACAGTAGGCCTAATTAATTATAAAAAAATAAAGATCTACATCTAGCAATATTTCTTAAAGGTCTAAACATTTCTAAATAATTAGGCCCACGTTAGCCTATTTACTATTTAGTTTATAATATATTCTCTCTAGATCTGGAACTCACAACAATCAAGACTAGACGTTCGGTCACTCAACTCAAGAGTAAGAGTAGAGTAGAGACTTGAAGAGAGGAGTCCAAGACTTGACTCAAAAAAAAAAAATTAGGCTAAGAAGAGTAAAAATAGAAAGCTAAAGACATTTTTTTTTAAACTAGGAGTTTTTTCTTACCCGTAGCAGAGGTAAATAGTAGCTAGGGTTTGTGCACAAGCGTTTTCCAGCTTGTGCAAAGGACGAAAACATCAAACATGCTGCCATAGTTCAGTGTTGTTGTCGTGCAAGGCAAATGTGGGCAAATCGTAACAACACTGCACAGGCGATATTACACGTCCGTATTCGAAGATCACACGAAGCGAAATACGACTACTTCTAGCTATTTTCGCTCATACGTCACAGGCAAGATAAATATAGATGACCCGTGACCTAAATAGCACGCTGCACCAAACGATAAACATCAACGTTTTTAAGAGGTCTATATTACGTATAAGCTTTTGTAGTCTAGGCTTAAGTAATTACTTGTTGTTTTCAATACTCTGATTTCAATTAATCACTTATGCTTTTCTTGGAGACTCTGTAATCGAGTATTAAATAACAATCACGAGCAACCAATGGGGAACAAAAATGTCGGTTTAACCTCATTCCTTGATGACGCAACCATTATGAATGAAAGCGGTACGGTGTGTGATTTTTATTTAGCGCTAACACAGATCTAGATCTAGATCCCCTGTGTCGGTAGAACGACGGGGAGCTGTAACATCTGTTTTTATAACTGACTTTTATATGCATGAGTTTAAAAAGGGTAGATTTATTTAATAGCAGCACATTATTTTGGTTAAAATGGTGGAAATAAATTGATGCAGGCTTAAGCAGACATCCATTAAAAATATCGATTATATATAACTTTAGAAGGGTGAATGCCTCACCATGTCATTGCGACTTGGCATCCGAAGATGGCTAAGGTCAATAGATCTATTTTCAAGAGTAAGGAATTGTTGATAGCATTTTCTTGTTGCTGTGATTTTGCTTCATGGGGCACGACCACTCCCACCCTTTCCCCATTCCTCACCCCCAGGTGTTTCTTCCAGACTTTTTTTCTCCGGGGGGGGGGGGCACAGTAGCGTAGCCGGGGGGGGGGGGGACATATGTCCCCGGGCGCCAACCTTAGGGGGCGCCAAAATGGGTTGGGAAAAATAAATTGAAAGGTTGAGGGGGGGGAGGGTTGCAAATCGAAATCTCGAGGGGGGGGGGTGCAAATCGAAAGTTTGGGGGGGGGGGGGGGGGGGGGGGGTGCAAATCGAAATCTTGAGGGGGGGATGCAAATTGAAAAGTTTGTCCCCAGGCGCCGGGAAGGGTCGCTACGCCTCTGAGGGGGGGCACTTGGTATTTTAGGGGGGGAGCGGTAGACTTTTCGAAGAGATGCCTGGAAGAAACTCTGCTCACCCCCCCCCCCACCCCCACCCGAACAGATGCATGAAAGAAACTATCTGGTTTCAACGCCATGGTTTGCTTAGATGAAATATCAGATCGAGGACGTTGCGACTATTTAAAAACCTGGACGTTATACTAAGAGCGGCGCTTTAAGCATAGCGAAGAGTGAAAGCATAATAATTTGTTTTCCCCATTGCTCCAAATAAGACTGTCGTTACCTACAATGTTATTTACAACGTGTTATACAATGTTTTTTTTAGATAATAGGGCTTTATTTGAATAAACTTCTATCAAATCCTGCTATGTGCAATGATAACAGTGTCACTAACCTAACAAAACATTGAGCCGAAGGAAATGTTGAATACCTAGCACAAGCCAGATTGTTTTGTTTTCTATCCTTGTCGTAGACCTACCCCCCCCCCCCCCCCCCCTCCACGTTCCCAGGTATTGAAATCTCGACATGTTACATTCAACGAAGGTGTGTTAAAAATATTTTAAACTTACCTGTGGTTGAAAAAAAAAAACCCGCAGTTTTCGCCATTGTCTTCTTGGTGGGTGAGGGATGTGGGTAAGGACGGTGGGTGAGGGATGTGGGGTAAGGACGGTGGGTGAGGACGGTGGGTGAGGGATGTGGGTAAGGACGGTGGGGGAGGTAGGGTGGTTGATGTGATGGTGAGGACGGTGGGGTGAGGACGATGGGTGAGGACGGTGGGGAGGTAGATGGTTGATGTTGTGGGTGAGGACAATGGGTGAGGACGGTGGGGGGGGGGGGGGGGCTGTGGATGAGGTAGGTGGGGGAGGATGGTGGGGGAGGTAGGTGGGGGGGAGGACTGTGGATCAGGACTGTGGGTGAAGTTGAACACTCCTATAACCAGGAAGATTTGACATTTATTATTCACAATTTACAGTAAACAATTAATATTTAGCTATTCATTGACAGTTTTGTGAGAAAGGAGGGGACAATGCCCTGGGCTAGTGGCGCCACAAGGCGTGTACGGGGAAGGGGGGGGGGGGCGATCAGCACTGGGTAAAGCCCTATTGGGGGTGACACCACCACAGAAAAAAAAAACTTTAAATCTACTGTCCAAATCAATGTTTTATCCATTTCTTCTTCATCCTCTTCGTTCTTAATTTTTAGTGTTGGAAGTGATCGAGCCTTATCTGCCAGAAAAGTTTGAACTCGAGACTTTTTTTTCGATTTATCAACCATGAGCTTTTGCCGACTCCACCACGCCCCCATCAAAATTAAGGATACGTGTCAACTGGTTATGCGCCATTGAGGCCATTGACTCCGATTTCAGCCTGCTTTTCTTTTTGGATTTGCTTCCATAGCCTTTGTCCAACCAAGGCGAGCAGTTGTTTGATTTTGGAGTTGTCTCTCCAAGAAGAGTGGCCTGTCCCAGAGGCGTAGCGACCCTTCCCGGCGCCCGGGGAACATACTTTCAATTTGGCGCCCCCCTCGGGAGCAAATTTTCGATTTGCCACCCCCCCCTCCTCGAACTTTTCATTTGCACCCCCCCCTCAAACTTTCGATTTGCACCCCCCCCTCGAACTTTTCATTTGCACCCCCCTCAAACTTTCGATTTGCACCCCCCCTCGAACTTTTCATTGCAACCCCCCCCCTCAAACTTTCAATTGTGGCGCCCCCCCCCTAAGGTCGGTGCCCGGGGACATATGTCCCCCCCCCACCCGCCCCCCCCCCCTCGCTACGGCCTCTGGGCTGTCCCCCAGCCAACGAGCCCTCATCTACCCTAGTTTATTCATTTAATAACAAAATAATATGGGAGAAGGGTGACTGCAAACAAAAAATGCAATTTTTTTGAGGGGGTGTTGGTGTGATGGGAAGGGAAGGGGGGGGGGGCGGTGCGGGGAGACACTCTCAGTTACCACACCCGACACAGTGAAGGCACTGTCTTGGGCGATAGTGCTTTAGTATCAAAGTATTATTTTGATATGGGCGGGGGAATAGATGGTATGCACCCCCTCCCAGTGCGTCTAGCTGTGTACATATTCTGGCGTAATTCAGTGGTAATCAGCACTATCAGCACTGCCCCCGTGCGACAAGAATCGACCCTAGCCCTACTTAAAGATGTTTATTTCGGCAGTTTTCTAATTACCTGCATGATAAGAAATGCTGACATCGAAGTTGACCGCTTGCTGGTGTATTAATTTCACCTGTCGTTTTACAGAAGGTGAAAGAAAACATATGCTAAAAGGGTCCAAGCTATTTATTCAAAATATGTTTTTATTTTCAAGTCTATGACAGAAAACACTGTGGAGATTTGTTTGGACTTTGCTAATCGTTAGTCCTCTTGGATAACTTAAATTGCGTGCCCGACCAAAACTTCTGCTTATAGTTTAGACTTTAGACCAGGGGTTCCCAACCCCGTGCCCGCGGGCGCCATGTCGCCCGCCGAACGATTCGTATGTGCCCGCCTCTCACTATTCGATAGAGACAGAATTTTTTAATAAACATTATTGAATGGTTGAAGGGGATGGAAATCAAAATTTTGAGGGGAGGGGGGTGCAAATCGAAAATTTGAGGGGGGGGGGGTGCAAATCGATATTTTAGAATGTGCTCTAGAGTCAAAAAAGGTTGGGAACCCCTGCTTTAGACAGATAAAAATTCTGGAGAAAGTTCTTCAATAACTTGTATAGTAAAATTTTGGCCGATAAAATTAGCTTCAGAGAGATGGAAAAAACATGAGCAAAACAGAAGTACTGATTTTATATTGTACTTTCTTCAATAACTTGTCTATTAAAATTTTGGCTTCCCGTTACCTCCTTGCTTGCAAAAAAAAAAAAAAAAAAAAAAAAAAAATTCTATCCAGAAGCCGATAAGCTACGGAAAGATAACAAAAAGAGAAAGAGCAAAAAGCACCAGCTTTCATTATTTTGTACGTGCAGTACAAAGAATTGAGTTCTTTGCTGTAGAAATATAATCTGGATTTTACAAGTAAGCATTTCCAGTTGACACTAGATCTAGTTAGGTGAAGCATATGCGTGATCGAAGTTTTTAACCGTGCAACGCCGACACACCTATGTCTTGACTGGTGACTATAGTCAATCAAAATACTTTGTTGACATTTGTCAAGTTACCCTTGGTGTAATCTTTACAGGCATAGTATAAGCCTACACGTGTGTGTCGTTCAATGTTCCCCCCCCCTCTCACATTGACGGCAGCACTGAAGTCTAAAGAGGTAACATCAGTGGATATTGCCGTGACATACAGAGGCTATAGCAACACAATTGTGTCATTGTCTTCCAATGCTGATAGCACAACAACTAAAATGGTCACTTGCAGTGAGGGGGGATGGCAATCGAAAGTTTCGTGTAGGCTGGTTGAAGCTATATTTTGTATATATTGTATATAGTTTTGTTACGGAAGGGGGGTGGGGTGGGGGGTGGGGTTGATAGACGTGTGCAGGTATGTGGGCGCACGCCGACACAACATAAGTGACATATTATTTTTACACTGGTGGGCCTTGGAAAACCTGGCATGTGATGTCAGAACTTTGAAAACTGGGTGTCCAGGAAGTGTTTGACTTGCCACATTGGACAGACTAAAAAATTCGTATCCGGTGTGCATGTGTGTAGTCAGTAAACTGAGTCCTGTTTGACGTGTGTGTATGTATATGTGTGTGCATGTATGTATGTACGTATGTGTGTTTGTGTGTGTGTTGTGTGTGTGAAACCAGACAACATATCCTGTTATAGCGGTAGAATTCTGCAGAGTATATATGATTCAATGCTAAATGTGGTTAAAAGTTGGAAAACCCCATTTTGTTTTCTTCCTTTTGCAAAGATTTAAAACAAAGTTTTGAAAAAAAGTCCCCATTGGTCTAATCTGTAACAGAATGAGCGTAAAGCCGCGTCTGATCTATGTTACACTAAATACTTTCCTCTCGCCGCCCACCATTTATTTACCAGTGTGATCTGATTCTGAAGACGAACGATA